TCTTATTGAATAACGATATTGGGTTCCATTCCTTATATTTTCAATATTCATTAACTAGTTTCTTCGCGTGAAATGAAACGTTTTCTGCCGAGCGTGCGGGATAGAGGCATTTTGCGCACGGAGTATCGAAATAATAATAATTAAAATAAAAGATGTCAAAGTAGCGTATTTTTTTAGCGCGTAAAAGGCATTATGACTCATGCTTTGAAATAATTTTACAACATTGACATTCTTCGAATGAAGTCTGCGTATGTAATAATCGATCGATTGCGCATGACTATCAAGACTATTACCGAGTATTAAATCCTTCAACGCTGTTTGTAAATAATGATTGAAAAAATTCCAACTGCTAACGATATACATGTATAGATGTATAGATCCTTTCCTATTTTTTGTTTTAGTAATATTGTATCATTTCCATCGTACGTTGAATAAAAAAAACGGAATAAATAGATAAGATAAGATAATTTTCAGTAGGATTCTATATTAGTTAAAAATTTTCAGCAGTATTAATTTTTCAAACTATTTATCACGGTCCATTTTTCAATATAAGATTTGATGATATAAAATTGGATGACCATGAAACTACGAGATTTTCGAATATTTGCTTTTTCTTATCGATTACTTAAATTCAACATTTAAGCAAATTTAGTTACGATAATACTATATGAACTTATTTATTGGAATTATTTATAGAACCAATTAAAATGTTAAGACGTATATGTTTTCATATAATTTTCATGTATCAAAATTAGGTACCTATTAACTAACCCGACATCGTAAATAAATAAAACAATAAAACAAATATTGTAGATTTTTTATTTTTTATTCCTACTTCCGAAAGAATAATACTGAATGTAAAAGAAAGAAGATATTTATTCCATTGTTAGTTGAACGGCAATAAAATCACGACTTTGCAATAAAATTAACACTCACGTTATATATATTTTCATGTCTCGAAAGACAATTATTTAAGTTGCTCTCTCATCTCCTCAAGTAAATTTGGTTATATTTCCTAGCTATGTATTGTCGAACACATTACTTGTGAATAATTAGCTTGAACTGTTGAATAATTTCACGCAATAAATGTGATGATATTACGAAAGACCTACCCAAACGAGTTTGCGTTTTCTATTACGTTTAATTTGTTCAATACAGCGCTGCACAGCGACACGGTGAAAGTTGAACTAAATTGTATAACTTTATATCGCTTATTCCTTATGTCGTTAGCTCGTATACGAGTTGTGCATGAAATATGTCAGCCTCGCATTAATTCGCATAATCGAGCTGGGCGCGCAGCACAGAGCCAATGCCGAACGAAGAAAATCAGCTGGATGCATTTGGGAGGCACTCGACAGAGAGCACGCAAGCACGGGCATCCGCGAAATAAGATTCTCGCAGATCGAAGGTAGGCGCGTAAAGTGGACGCAAGCGCGCGTATAGCTCGTACGCAGCGAAAGCACGCGCGAGCCATAGGTGGAGGAGGATCATCGCTTTGCTGCTCTCACGGCCGACCGAGGGCATAATAAAGGTCTGGTTTTATTGCAAGGGCTTCTCCCTCGCGAGCTGGCGCTTCTCACTTCCGGTATTTTTTTACAGCGCCGAGGAGAGAAAATTTGCCGATCGATCGCTAATCCCGGCCTATGGTGCTTTCGATTCCCACGCTCGAATACCAACCTTACCGTGCGAGCATCTATGCGCTACTGTGCATCTATTTTCAAACATTCGTGTTTATACTCTTAATTCATTAATTAACTTTACCTCGATCTTCAATTAATCATCTTCGTAAGCTGATCTTCGTACAATTTGAACAGTATTAAAAGATGAACATTGACTCGGTCGGTGTATCGTCCGATGTGCCGGCAGAGCCGAGCGCCGCGCGCCGCGCGAATCTAGTCACGGTGCGAGTGAATCGAATCGTCGTGCAAGTTTCTACTGCTACTGTCAGACTAAAGAGTTGCCCGAATTGGAACGCCGATAAATTCCTGTAACGAATTCGCGTAAATCAAACTTGCAGGTCGCTTGTAAATTTGCCAAAGATAGATCATGATTTGCCGTAAAACGCTAAACTTTGCGTTATCGATCGACTCGGAACGCAAACTCACTCGGAACAGTTCGTAAAATGCCTCCAGTCGAATGCTGCAGGCTTTCAATTTCGTTGTAAATGCGATTGCTAAGTCTAAATGCTGAAGTTGAACGTATGCTGCTCGGTAAAAATAGAATCTCTTTTGTCCACATAAATAAGTCAGTGTCGAGCTATTAAACCGTAAATACTTTTCGAATCAGTAAACGCTTTAAAAATTCACAAGGGAATGCCGTGATGCGACTGGAAGTCAGGGTGTGTGCTTCGTAAATTTTCGATGAATTTGGATATTATACAAGCCTATTATAGATCGACCTGTGTTCGGGCGCGCATTCGGAATAGCGCAGTGAATGAGAGAAGAGGAGGAAAGACGAGACAGTCAACGAGCTGCAGCGAAGTACGTGCGGGAAAGAGTGTGCCCGGTTGCAGGCGGCCTTTATATATGTCGTCTATATAGGTAAAGCGGCGCGCGTGCGGCGAACGGCCTCGCGCGCAGAGCAGAGCAGAGCAGCGAGCGAAAGAGAAAGAGACAACGAGGAAAACTAAGAGCAGGAGATCAGAAGGGAGGAGGAGGCGTGCAATAGAATGAAAGCCAACTCGTAGCCGACAATGAGCCAAGTACCTGCAGACGAATATTACACTCTGAAAACTTTTCTTCTTTTTCCTTCTCGCGGATAATGCTTAGCTCTCTTGTTGGACCATCGGACTTTTTATATTATTCACGCTTCGCCGACTATTTCAATTAGATGGCTGCGCCTTTGCTGTATCTCTTTTTTCTACGGAAAGTCTCTCCTGGGCTCGATGTTTATTGGGAAAGTATCGGCAACTTGGACACGATTATTCACATTCGCGAGAGTTTCTTTGCCGAGGCGTCTGCTTTTTTTAATCGAAGGAGCTCACTGGACTGACTTCCGTTGGATGAGTCTTGCAACGATGTGCTGTTGACGACGTCTTGTATATTTTGTGAAATCAGCACTGTCAGCGATTTGTCGCGAGCTTTGCAATGTTACACACGAGGCACTCGAAAATCCAGCCTTCGTAAAAAAAAAGAACGAGAAGATAGCGTCGCGTCTAACCAATGCCGCAACTACTGGGAAATCAATGCTCGCAGTTGCGCGCGTGTAAGCCGCGCGCGAGTTGCAAATCACGTGCGCGCCACTCGCAGTGCCAGGCAGCGGACAGAAAGAAAAGACGGAGCCATAAGCAGGTACGACTGGCGGGATGATGCAAACAATCCCACGCGTGCGAGGGTTGGAATATCGATGACTCGAGGAGATTATCGCTCTCGCGTGGTAAACGCGCCTGTCGGAGACGCCCACAGAGGCACTTGCGCTGCTTTCACATTTTTCTTTCGCCTACTGCTTTTGCCCACTTCCGTGCATCATCGTTGTCAGCTACTTTTCGCCCGTAGCTACTCCAAGTTTATCGCCTTCTTTTTACAAGCTCAAAACTGCAAGCTTAACGTCTTTCTTGTCTTTTTTTTTCACTTTGGTTTCCGTGAGTCGACATTACGTTACGCTTCGAATTTCCTCTAATAATGTTTTACACTTTCGCAAAGTCAAATGATAAAAACCCATCCGTCAGAATTCATAATATCTCGTGGGTTTCATTGGACTTCGCGCGTAAATTTCACTTTATCGAAATACACTGCACGCAAATTTGCCGTGCAATTTCGACCTTTGATAACGTATTGAGCACATGTATTTATTACGTAACCTCGCAGCACAGACTACTGAGAACGAAAGTGTCGCATTTTGTATTGGAGCAGTCTTCCAACGGATCTGAAGCAAACGTCCATTTTGTCGTTGTTGTTCAACATTAGCGTAACAATTAGATGCACAGGTCAAACGAGCAGCAAGAAATGAGTTTAAATAATTGGAGTGGTAATCGACGATACTGCACACGTACACACACACAGCGCGAAGCAATGCACTGAAAGCTGTACGAGAGAAGTACGCAGAAAAAAATGACAAAAAAGAAAAAGACGAAACGGAGAGTAGTGGTATATAGTCTACAGATAACAAAGTCAAGAGTGCTTCTTGCCTGGCGTGGCTGGGGCGCGCGGGGCGGCTACACAGAGCCTAACAACGCGCGTATTTAGATCGATTGCAACGGAAACAATGGAAAAATTAAGAGGGAAAAAGAAGAAGAGGTGGAGGCACGTGCATAAAGTGTGAGTGTGTGCGCGCGCGCGCGCGAGGGCGCGAGGGAGGTAGCGGAGGTGAAAAAAAAAATTAAGGCAAGACCGAGTCACGAGAGACGTGGGGAGCACTCAACGAAATGCCGGAGCGAAGAGAGAACGAGCGAGGCGAAGGCTGTGCGGCGCGAGCGAACGAAACGGGGCTGCGAGCGAGAGAGAGAGAGAGAGAGAACGCGAGGGAGCGTGCGCGCAAGCTTACTAGCAGACGACAGCGCTCGCGCAGCTTCCTCGCTCCTTCTCTCTGCCTGTCTCTCTCTTTCTCTCTCTCTCTCTCTCGCTCTCTCCCTTTGGCCGTCTCGCCGCTGCCGATGGGGACTACTGGCCTCGCGCGCGCACCCCGTGCCGCATCATCTCCGGAGAAGCTCGACGCCTCCGACTGCCCTCTCGCTCTCGGTGAAGGGAACGAAGCAGAGCGGAGCTGCAGCTGCGGCGCACGCGAATGCGGAGAGCGCCCAAGAGACCCTCGGCTGTTTGTTCTCATTCGATCGGTCCGTCGCGCCAGGCTCGGGTCAGTCTACGAGCCGACAACTGCCACTTGGTCGCGCGCGACATGCACTCCCGTGCGGGCCGCAAGCTCGGGGCTCTCGAGCCACGAGTCGGCAAGAGGGCGCGGCTAGGCCGCTCGCGCGAAATCCGCCTCTTGGCTCGCTGCTGCAAGCGGAGTTAGCCGGGCAGACGGGCGGCCCAGTATCGGCGACAAGTTTGTCAGAGTCTCACCTGCTAAAGCTGTGTCGCTGCGCTGCGTGCGATGGCCGGGGGGGCGCGCGCAAGCTCCAGCCGGCAAGTGCGCTCGTCGGCGGCGGCGGCTGCTGCTGCAGCGGGGCGTTGTTGACGCTGGCTTTGGTTTTAGGCCGAGCCACGCGCGCGACGGAGTGCGAGAGCGAGGGAGAGAGAGAGAGATAGAGAGAGCGAGAGCGAGAGAGAGGCGTAAGCGAAAGAGCCCGCGGCCGAGTTGCGTGCGAGTGTGACTGAGACGGCGGGGCGGCTCACTGGCACTCGCGGCACGACGTCGCGACGGGGCCGACTGTAACGCAGACCAGGGGCCAAGCTCGCGCCGAGGCGCCAGCCATCCAGCACGGCTCCGCCATCTTGGGCCAACTGCCACAGCGCCGCCCGCCGCTCGCTCGCTCCACTGCCCGCTGCTTCTGCTGCTGCCCCTGCTCCCCTGCTCTGCCCCCTCTCTGCCGCTCCGCGCGCCGTCGCCGTGTACGCCCGACGGAGACGGAGAGTCCGCGAGCGAGCGCCACCTTCGCCGACTCCGACCGCGCCGCCACCCGCTGCCGAGCTTGCGCGCTCTCTGCCACCGCGGGCCCATGCGCTCTCCTGCTCGCTCTCCGCCGAGTTCTATTTCCGACCAGCCAGCCCTCTCTTTCCCCCTCGCGGCCGCCCTGTCGTGCCTTTCCGTTAGCCGCGGCGCTCCGCTGCAAGCCGATTGGCGCGCTCGAGGGTGAGACCGGCCGCGGCCCTCGCTGGCTTGTCATTCGCGTGCTTTCGGCGCGACTCCGCGACTCGCGGCGGGAACGTGCTTTCGTTTCGACTTGCAATCGGCAGCTACTTTTTGGACAACTTTCTATTATTCGTGGCATGCTGCCATTGCTTTTACAATAAAACAATGCGTTTACTGTATTTGTAGTCAGCTATTACATGCCCAATGGAGTAACTCTTTATTTTCCTCGTTGGACGCGTGAAGGTAAAACGTTACTATACTCCGCAAATTATGTTTTATGTGCTTCTACAAAATTCGAGAATGATCAAACTCAACTATGAGATAAAAACGAATCAACTACTCAACAAATGCGTGAATCAATCCAATATAAATGCAGTATTGTTTCGGATTAAACACTCACCGAACTGTCTACTGGTACACTTAGGATGCTGCTTTCTTGTCCTACTTTGTAGAGTTAATGGTTTGCTATTCCTCCACGAAAATTCACGTATAGTAAGAAAAGCACTACGTTGTATGGGTTCCAACCGAGATAAAATATTATAGACATATGAGTTTTCCGATATTTCGCGAACACATTGTTGACTGTCTCCGACAAATAAATTGTTACAAAATGAGAAACTCGGCAAGATGTACGATTACGAATTCAAAATTTACAACATCACTAGCTGAGGTTGATTCCGAGGATTTTAAGTTAAAAATAGATTCATTGAAATGATCAAAACTTATCTTACAATAAATTATATACATATGTTAAAAAAAGCTTTCAATTCTCAGCTTTTGAGCTTAGCTAATCCCTTGATCAGAAATTTACAAAATCAATGAAAATCAATTTTAATTGTTGTAATTTCTAATATTTTAAAAGATATATAGTGTACATTAATACAGTTCACAGCTCTCGCGCGTCGTCAATCAACTACCAAAAATCCAATTATCGCCAGGCACCTTGAGTTTTGGCCTACATAGGTGTTTTGCTGAGCTCGATCAATTACTGAATAACAAACACATGTTTATACTTTATAATACTTACGTAATGAAACAATTCGCATGCAACTGTTTTATATGACACTTATATTTTTTATGTTACGAATATTTTTGTTACGAAAAAATTAATTGTAACTTCATTTTTTTTTAAATTACACTACGATTATTATATAATATAATATTATAACTGTGAAATAATTACTAATAGATACCTTAAACTATAAAATGTCTCTTAGGATAAAATGTTTTGGTTACATTTTATGAGAAAATATTTTGATTGAACACTCATTGTTCTGATATTTTTTATGATAATGACGTGTGTGCATGCGCGAGCTATAATCCTAAAACAATTAATACACTTTCGGGTTTTCCAGAATAGTGAAAATCTTTAATCTCTTCACGGCTATGGCTTGTGAAATCTTTTTTATTGTTTTACTCAAGGGTGGTGCAAAATGTTTGTGAACATTGGAAAAGTTCGCTAGATTTTGGTATCTTTTGTCAATTTTTCATTATAAACCAAATTTTTTAGTGGCTTTTCGCTTTGACAGCTTTTTGCAAAGATTCGAAAAGAAATACGTATCGGGAACGTATATCATAAAATTTGAAAATGTTGCCGAATAACACAAAAAGGTTTTGAAAACATTTCCAACTACCGCTTATCGTATCCTATCCGTCTTTACCGATCCTTCTACTTGGTTTCGCAATTGTATATTTCTCTCTGTTTTAGATTACCTTATTTTGCGGTAAGTGCCTGTAGCATTTGTGTATTTACTTATACTTTGGAATTTGCACTTCTCAACACAGGTAGATATTTATCGTATATCTAAATGACCTAGTAACATGAAAATGTCATCTCCACAGTCATAAGCCTGTATGTGAAATGACAATCGACGAGAACAAGAAAACAATAATCTCGAGTTTTATTACTAACCTCATTCTATACTCCATTTCATAATTTATTCTTTACAATTATGTAACCCTGTGAAGAATCATAAAATTCTAATAATTCTTTTAAGTCTTTGGCAGAAGGTATAAATCAAAGTTTTTCTTATATCTTTTCTAGCAGATGTAAACAAAGAAAAATCTCCAACTCAAAACAAAAATTTATATAAAATAAACAAATTTAGCAATATTACGAATAAGAAATTTAAATTGCGAAAATTTCTTCGGCGATGATATTTAAAATCATGCCACGTCATATTTTGTTTTTTCTATAATGAAAAGAATTTTGGTGTCCTATTTGAATTTAATATTAATGTCACATTTGATCCTTTGTAATCTTCAATCAATAATATTGTACATCAGTTAGTTATCTGTTAATTAATAATATTGTAACATTTGTTAATTATCTAACATAATAATTCAATCAATAATATCTTCAATGTAATAATATTACATGTTTCCACGGAGTTAGAATTTAAATGTAATAATTGAAATATTCCTTAAATAACAAGTTTTCACGTATTGAATAGGATGGCGCTAGATTTTCTATGTTCTGGATGGAAATATTGTTATCTATGATTTTTAATAAGGTTATTTGGTTTGTTGATATAGTAGATAACAATATATCGATCTCAGTGTGATCGGTATATTTGAATTCAATCTTTCGATTGATAAATCAGAAAAATGAAGCTGTAGGTTTTCATCAGAACCCTCTCTTCGAAACATTTATGTAGTCAATGTATGTATTTTCAATTTAACAATAAATAGGCCATAATGAATGCTATATTCTTTAAACAACAACGAAGATTCTAAATGAAAACGAGAATTTGTTCAACTCCTGACATCTGACGTTGGTATGCTCATTTGATTATATATCGTGAAAGGTGTATCTTTCAACGTCATCATTCTGTAGGTAAAGTCGCTGTTTATCATATCCATCATTTAGATATACTTTACGAACTTCTATTATTCCACACTTTGTTTCTTATATATTAAATGAAATAAAAATTATTTAAGGAAAACAATATCTTTAATTCATAAGATGTTGCTTTATATATGCAGTTTAATAAAGTTAAGCTTTTTTAAGAAGATAAATAAATAAATTAAAGTTTATTAGGTCTTACGTATTAATATGACAAGCAACGTACAATACAGACATATCATAATGTATTGGAACAAATTTCTTTCGATATGATCATTTCTGTATCAAAAATTATTATGATTATATTTTATTTGTAGAGCATATAATGTTGTGATGACATATTTTTAAAAGTAATGGTTTCAGATGTAATCATACAATATAATTTTTATGACAGTATCTTTATAGTCTACCAAGTAATACATACTTTGCAAGGCTATATATTACGAAGGACGATGATTATTCAAAGCAGCTGATCGTGAAAAACTGAAACTCTTACTATACGGATTAAATTTTTTAAATTACGAAGTAGAAGTAAATTTTATCAAAGTTTTTTCAGCTCGATTGTTGAATTTCTATACGCTCTATCAATAATATTTCATAACAAAATTACTTAGATTCTTTCTTTTAATACTCTTGTGAATATTTGAGACCTTTGAAAGGATTGCGTTGTGCATTATTTTTTTATATTATAGCAAAACTATCACGGAAAAACTACTGAATAATCAATATAAAATAATCGCGATAATATGATAAATTGAACAATCAACATTATTGCATTTTTTATCAAAGAAATGAATGAAGTGAAAGGCATCTCCGTAAGATTCCTGTATTAAGTAATATAGTAATAAAAACATTATTTGAGCGCCGTTCGTAGATCTCTAACTAATCGTGGTGTTTGCTAAAAAATTGTACACCGCATTGTTTTTGCCAGGATTACCGATCAGACGGTGAATCAATCGATTGTTATGTAATCGGTTACGAATCGAAGATCGTAGGAAAACGCCGAGTCAGTTTTCCACTTGTTTTGGGCTCTTGTCGCAAACAAATTGATAGTTCTATAGCAACTAGGCTGCCGAGTAAGATGTTGAACGGGTTATGCTGAGGGATTGACTTACTTATTTCATATTGATTGGATTGAAATGAAAACATGAATTTTCACTTGAGAAACGGCACATTGAAAGGAAATTACCGAGTACAACTAAACAGCTGAAACAACAAATATGCCACCGAATTCAATAAACGAGATGGTTTCGGGTAGTTGTGTATTTTTGACTGGTGTCACTGGATTCGTCGGTGGATGTTTACTTGAGCGAATTTGCCAACTCGATCCTGGACCGGAGCGAGTGTTTGTTCTTGTGCGTGAAAAACGTGGAGTGGATCCTCATAGTAGATTGCAAAAAATGTTCTCCTCTCCAGTAAGTCAAAATTTATCTGAAATTACTTTTTTTAATCCGAAAGTATTGTTTATAAAATATAACAGTTTACTTTGCTGAAGACATTTATTAATGTTAGTTCTTTTTACAATAGTTTTTATAATACTGCAGAATTTTATTGTACCACGTCATTTGGTTTTACTAAAAAATTATTTACTTCGCCTGTTTATATTTTATAACATATTGTCGAACTCGGTGGCGCAGTTTCTACAAAATCGTAATTATTTATATCTCTCTCCGCCAGTAAAATAGAAAATCTTTCCTTCATTTTTTCATAGACATTTAACGTACAAGTTCAAAACATTTTTCGATAAAATTACCGATGACATAATTTATTATGTCACTCAAAATTATTTTAGAATCTAGTCTTAATTCATTTGCTCTACTGATGATCTCAAATATTTATGAGTCAATACGACCTCAAATGTACAGATTTCAAGAACGTAATAATGCTCGGATATTGTAATATTTAATAAGAATTCCAATTGACGATGTACTGAAATAATCGTATGTTTGGCATTCCTTATTATATATAATAGAGAAATGACTGAATCCAAAGAAACACCAATTAATTGTCACCAATGAAAATGTTTTCAAAGCTTTTTTCAAAAACACCAAAGAAGAATCTCGAGCGAGTTCACGTGCTGGAAGGTGACATGGGCAACAACAATAAAAATCTGGGCTTAAGCGAGGCAGACCAACAATTGATCATCAGCCATTGCACACACGTTTTTCACGTGGCCGCTTGTATATCATTCGTGGCGCCTCTCGATCTCGCGGTAAGGATCAACTTGCGTGGGACATGGGCAATTTTACAACTGGCCAAACAAATGAAGAAACTCAGAGCAATGGTCCATGTGTCTACGGCTTATGCCAATTGTACTCGGGACTCCGATCACGCTGAATTTCAAGAGCAGATCTATCACGAAGACGTCGATCCTGTCGAGGTCATTTGCGCGGTTCGAGCGTTTACTTTCTGTTATTTGTTTCAATCATCACGAGCGAACGGAATAAGTCGTTTTTAAATTCAACAGAGTAGATAAATTTTTGCTCAGCATATACAAAGAATTGTCAAACATATGCGTTGAGAATTGTGAGAAACAAGTAAACGCAATTAACGAGCACATAAACTATTTTCGCGATAAAGTTAATTTATCTACTTGTTTCGACGCTCGTCCAAGAAACGCGATTGGCAATCAACAATGACCACATCGCGCTTTCTGTTTTTAGTTGAAAAAGATGTCGCTGGACGAGATCGAGACAAAGTACGCGAAACTAATCGGCAAGTATCCCAACACCTACACTCTGGCGAAACGGTTGGCCGAGAATCTATTGGCGCAGGACGGTCGCGGGCTGCCTCTTTCAATAGTGAGGCCAGGGATAATTTTGAACACTTGGCGAGAGCCCTTTCCCGGCTGGCTGGACAGCGTCAATAGCGGCGCCTGTGGTTTCATCGCTGGCGCCGCTAAAGGTATTTTCTGCACGTAAGTGCCATTTTCAACTTCGCCTGGTAATCATTCTCATTGCAGATTAATTAAATGCCGATTGGGTTACGCTCCACGCTTACGCCGAATTACCTTATACATAAATAAGAGCATTATCGTGCTTTTCTTGGCATATTGCAAATATACTGGCGTCGATTGATTTGTCAAGCGGCGATTGTACACATCGCACCTGACTTTTTTCAAAATTGTCGCTTCTATTTTCACATCGTCGACATCGAAAGTCGTATTTGGTTAACAAATGGCCGTCAATTTGAATGACAAAACGAAGAGGTCGTTCTGAATTCCGGCAACGGTTATCAGCAATCGAGCAATTTAATCATTTGGATAAAACATCATTAGCGTGATAATTTAATTTCCATTTACTATTCCCATTGGAATAATTTCAGTCTTCTACTTCCTCAACGAAAACGTCGTGTAAACAAAATATGTACAGCCAGCGGAGGTGTTGATTGCGAAAGGTGACATTATCCAACAAGAGGAAGGTGGAAGTTGTTTGCGAGTTCTTTCGAATGACGGATGCTGCTTGAAACCAAGATCGAGTCCTTCAATTCCTCGTATTTTACACCAAGAAGTGCGCGCGCGCCAAGACAACTTTCCTTTATCACGATTTTTCGTACACCGCGCCGAGTCCACGCGGGAACTTTCAAATTGACGTTAACGAGTGATTTTCACACTTCGCAAAACTTTTATCTACCTTATTGCGGGCTGGTTAGGCACTTAACAAGGTGGCAATGATATACATAGAAAGCGACAGCTTCTTCAAATGAAGTTATTGTTTAGAAAACTTACGTTTATGAATAAAATCATTGTACGAGCAAAGTTCTAACTCAAAATATACTGGTTTATATTATCTTACTTTTCGACATAAAATAGCGGTATCGATCCATTATTATTCCTTTACATCAGATTTTTTAAGCAACGGTGCGTTTTAATAAATACTCTGTCTTTCTCCGCTCACAGATACGCACTTCTTTTTAAATTTTCATCTTTGCATAGCGGGACAGCTTTCTCCGGGGAAAGTCAAAGCGTGCGATATTTGCTGACCACTCAGACGTTAGTTGGAAGTCTCTTTGCACCGGTAGCGCAAGTCTTGATCAACGTATATAAATTGCACAGTCTGCAGAACTAGCCTACTATAAGCCACTTTACGTTTATTTAAAAATATCATTTCAATGTTCAATATGGAAATTATACGTAATAGTTTACGATGTTTTCATTCTCAATAAATGTGATAAACAAATTATAAATTAATGCAACGTTTTGACTGACATCGTAAATCATCTTCCGGGAAACCTGCTCGAAACCGTGATATATATATTAAGTCCCCCCTTAACATGGCTGACGTGATATCAGTTGAAGCGTTGGATTAATTTACAAATTGTTAATTATTTATTATTTATTTCAAGACAAAAAAATGACATGGCATAATGTATGCATTTACTTTATGAAAATTGTAAATCAGACTATCATGGAAAGTTTCAATACTTTAAAACTCTTTCGATTTCTTATAGTTTGTGAAATTAAAATATTATCGAGAAAAAATGAGCGAATATTTTCTTTACGCAAATAATTTCGATGTAACACTTGCATCGTAAAAGAAAAATCATTTACGCAATATCCCGGGAACAGAAAGAGAAATTGAACGTAAGAAAAGTGGAGTGACGTGAAAATGTAATTCGAAAAAGTCCGTAAGCAAGCTAACAATCGCAGCTACACGAGCGGTACGACAAGTTTCACACACAAGTTTGCAGCTTTCAGGCACGCGCGGACATGGTAATGGACGTGAGTCCGGTGGATCTGGTGGTCTCGACGATTCTCGCGGCAGCCCTGAAAGCCGAACGTGAGCCACGACCTCGCCGAGCTCACGTATTCCATTGCACCTCGGGCAGCGTCAATCCCACGACCTGGGCAGCCTATTGCGACAGCGTCATTCGCGCCTCCAGGCAATATCCGTGCGCTCGTGTCGCTTGGTATCCTAGGATGAGACTCACTCGTTGTTTCTTGAGACATCGGTTGGCCATTATTGCTTTTCAGATGCTTCCTGCTTTCTTCATCGATCTTTTTGCTGGGTTTCTCAAACCTCCTTATAGGTATGTTTATAATGATCTCACTTGGACAGAAGATGAATAAATTTTATAATTATCTCAAGAAAGAGCAAATTGCTACGAAATATGCTCACTTTGCCTTCATTTTGGAGTCGCGGGGTGTAATTTTACTACTCGACGGAATATTACAGTGTCCTAGAAATTCAGCGACGCTATATAAAAGGCAGCACGCAGGCCTCGTATTTTTCATTGCGCGAATGGGAATTCACGAGAAATGCGGCTGACGAGCTAATCGAGATGCTGCCCGAGGAGGAGCGTAAGAAGCATCCGATGGATCCACGACTGATCGACTGGGAGGTTTACTTCAAAAATTGTGTAATTGGCACGCGCACCTACTTCCATAAAGAATCAGCCGAAAGTTTGCCCAAGGCTCGCCGGACAATTGCTTTGTAATTGTTCATTTACATATTTTATCGGATTTATCAAGCGAAAAAAGTTCTTTCTTATCTAAATAATTTCCAGAATCAAGCAGTTTTATACGAACTGTCATAATTATATAAACGCGTCAAACGAAATTGTGCTATTTTTCCCTTTCAAGTTCTCGATACTTTTAATAAAGTGGCCGATACAACTTTCACTTATATTATTAATGACAATCAAGTATTGAACTCCGTGGAAAAATTGCATAATTACACAGTTTCATAATTAACGTTTTCCGGCAAACCTGTTTTTCGCCGGCTCGCGCCGGTAATCCCTGCAAATTTTCCATTTTGCAGAAGTAAATAAACGTCGAGAAAACGAAGTCTTGAGAAAAAGCAGAATCCACCTGTCTAACGATGAAAGTCATCGACATTGAGAGAGGAGCGATGGATGACGTGACTTTCTCGTTTCGCAGTTATTTCTATGCGCGCATTAAGTCAGTCACGCTTAGAGCTGTTAATGGGAATTCGCTTTTGCAGCTTGCGCGTAATTGCGGCGCTCGCGCCTCTGCTGAGTTTCTTCGGACTCTCTTGCGCTTTTGTGCTCCTGGCAGGACTTGTCTGGACTACTGCTGCTTCGGTCTCGGCGATCCTCGTGCTCACACTCGTCTGCCTATAAAACCACTAACACTACGCTGCAGGACAAATGGTTACTTCATTTTTTCGACATGGTTTATCGGTTGGATAATGGTTTTTTCTGCTTCGATACTAAGACTCAATGAATAATATACTGAGCTGATGTTCAACTTTGAGTATAGGTTCCGTTCATACAAGTAATACAGCTAGAACATCTATTGCATTATTGTTTTGATTAAGTAAAAAACGTACAAAAAGTCTTATCAGATGATCAGACGTTCAAGCATGAAGCCAGCAAAATACAAAAGAGATAAATTTGCTGCAAATGTAATAGAAAACCAGTAATTTTATGAAATGTTCATTTCAAAACCAATGTAACGAATCAATAAAATCTTTGTAATTTTTTTTGAAACACACGTAATAAAATATTGGTGAATTTCATCATTGTCATTCTTACAAACGTGTTTTTTTAAATAAATAGAACACTGTTTTAAAAACAAATTTTTCAAGCTACTCGTTCTGCGACTTAATGAAACAATCATCAGCCGATGTAAAAAATTTTAATTCACGATACTATGTATATGTTGATATTTCTGTTTTTTATATACTCAGTACTGTACTCCTTTATAATAATGGGTGTTGCACATATATACCTAATTTTAGTGGATGTAGGCATGCGTAATGTATTTTGCATGTATATCGGTATGCAAGCAAAAAATATGACATGCAAAGCGCATGAGCATGAGCGTTATGTAAATGTTGTCAAAACGAAACTTTTCGAAGACCGGATTGACAAGAATGTATCACTAGCACTGAGCTAACAAAAAGAGTAAAGCACTCTTATGAATTGCGTAGCTGAACCGTCAACTAATATTTTCGAAATAAAAAGCCACATGGTAAAATTTATTGGAAATTGATATCAATGACTTTCGAAGGTAGATAACGCTTTCATTAATAAATCGAGCCGAACATTTATAAACAGTTTCGCTTCACTTTTATGAAAATATGAAAGTGTAATCATGATTCAACTATTTTGAAAGAAAAAGAATTAAAAAATAACACCAGTAGTCATGGAAAATGTTGAAGTAGTTTGGTTAATTACAAAAGAGAATGGCACAACACTTAGAAAACTACTGTAACTCGTGACAGGCAATTATCACGCTCGCGCGTACTCGCGATTCCATTATCACGTTTAACGACAGGTAATTTTGTTTTGTTGTGCTTTGATTCATATTTTGTTTATTTATTTAGTCCGTTCATTTACATCTGAAGAGCATTGTAGAATATCACGCTTTTTTCCATACTTTACTAACATTGATATCCTTCTTGCAATACACACTTAAGTTATTTGATAAATAAAAATTCGATAACTACATTTTGGCAAGGTATGTGCTCTTTGAAACCAACAAGCACGTGGCATTCGGACTATGACTATATGCAGGATACTGATTTTGGTATTTGGATTTCACTTATTTGCTTATATGTTGGTTTTGTAAATAAAATTGTGGAGTTAGGCCATTTGTACAGTAAGCAACAAATGAAAGTTTAACTGTGATCGTATATATATATATATATAAATTATTTAACGGGTTTTAATTGTTAGCTTTTGTTCAGCGACTGTTGAATTCATCAATTTAATTATTGTGTATGATGAATCTACATTGTTTAGGTAGAAAGACAACGCTTTTGTTGATTCCGAATTATGAAAACCAATGTAACTGTAAATCTAGTATAGTATGTTAAAAAGTTTTTGAATTATTTAAAATTGTAATTGTTGTATGAAAAAGCATATTTAACCGTTTTCAAAACTCTTTTTTAGCTACTATAACATTGTATTCAATAGGTACACCCCTGTACATCGTCAAGTTTTTTCATGCTTCATCACCTACGCTAAATTGCTTCTTTCTGTGGCTGGCGACCCACAGACCACAGCGACCGCGCCTAACACGTATTAACACACACAGTAACATCTCCCTACATATACATATGCTTTTTCATCTTCTACATCTATAACCTCCTCCTTTCTCTTTCTGAAAAATTCGTCTTGAATCTCCTACGTGCCTATGAACTTGAACAGTATAGTTAGAGAAGAGCCGAACGAACGTGATGCAAGACTGTGTCCATATCACTGAGGTTGACGTAGAATACTTATACTTACCTAGGCTGCTAGATTTTTTTCTCTTGGCATTCGTTGATTCTCTGCCGGCAGCAGTATAACAGACGCGACAACAGCAGCGGCACGCGCGTAGTATAGTTTGTCCTTGTCTCTCTATACTGTACTTATCTGGTTGTCTCTCTTTCTCGCTCTTACGTTCATACGCATATGCTACAGTCGACGTCTCACTCCTCGGCGTATTTCCACAAGGGCGAGCTCGCTACGCCGGCAAATCTGCCGCAAATCGTCAGTTAGTTCTCGACGACGGCACCTAACGTGTGTACGCTACTTTTTTCTGCACGTTTACTCGCTGTGTGCACTTTCTGATAACTCGTGTACGGTGTCTACATTACCAAAAAGAACATTGGGTGTTACAGCACGTGTGGCTTTTTCCATTGTTTTTTTTCGTCTTTGGTTGATTTCATCCAGATAGAACGAGCTGACTATTCAACAAGATGACATCTAAAGTGGAAGAATACTTCCGTAACAAGAATATTTTTATTACTGGTGGCACGGGTTTTGTGGGACTCTGTCTAATCGAAAAAATTCTTCGTGATTGCCCCGATGTTAACAATATCTACATGCTTATCCGGTCGAAAAAAGGTAAAAAACCGCAAGACAGGCTGCAGGATATCGTCAAGAATTCCGTGAGTCATTACTTTGTATTATTTACACGATAAAGCGTTGCATATTTTTATTTTAATATATGATTTATAATATATGATTTATATATATGTAAATTTTTTTATATGATAAATTTTTTGTAATTTTTTAATGGTATTTGCTTATAATATGTGTTTTATAAGGTTTCTATCACTACATAATATCTTTTCTTGTTTATTTTAAAATTAACTCATCATTTGAATTTTTCTATAATTTTTCACTCTTTATATGATCATTTTGTTTGATTTGTAGAATCTATCATTATTGACAGGATAACATTTAATACATTTGTAATACCATATTTTAATATACTAATAATATCATAAGGCATTAATTTTTTATTGTTTACATTAGTTCTATAACCAATTATAGTTAAAAGTAACTGCTACTATTGAAATAAAAAAGGTTATAAAAGAAATATAATTTTATTCAATACTGTGCTATTTTTCTTCTCTTAAATTAATACTAATTTATAATCTAATGTTTGATCTGTTCAGTTGAAATAAAAATAAGTTTTTAATTGACAAATCTTTTCACTGAATATTTTTTATAATTATTTTTATGATTTTAAAATATCAAAATTTTTTTTCAACAGGTTTTTGACAGAATCAAAGAAGAAGGTAAAACTGATCTATTTAAAAAGTTGATAGCTGTTGGAGGTGATGTAGCAGAAGAACATTTAGGATTATCTGCAGAAGACAGATTGACACTAGTTGAACATGTTAATGTTGTTTTCCATTCAGCTGCTACATTAGACTTTGAGGCAAATTTAAAAGATACAGTCAATATTAATCTTCTTGGAACTCACAAAGTTGTGGAGTTTTGTCAAGAAATAAGAAATCTCAAGGTGAGTAAGTTTTATTATTTTTCATCATTGTATAGCTGTGCTCCAGCATTTTGTGGTTGGCTAACTTATACTAATATTGAAGAAATGATGTAATATTTAAAGTTCTGATATATAGCTATAGTATGCACTTTCAATTAATTGTAAGCTATTTTGAACTAATTTAAAGTATTAGGATATTATGTGACTGTTCTTTTGATAAGCGTTTATTGATAACAAAATAATTTTTCATAATCAGAAAAGTTGAAAAAAATTTAGCATTGATATTAAACTACATTTAATATCAATTTTGTTTTTATGTACTGAAAAATAGTAAATTACATATTATTAAAACTAAAATTTTTTAATGTCTTAAAAATTAGTATTATATATTATTTTTTTTAACATAATATTTATAAATTCAGTACATTTTTTATTACAGGCTTTAATTCACGTTTCTAGTGCATTTGTTAATGCAGTTCTTAAAGAAGCTCATGAACGTTTGTATCCATGTCATATGGATGCAAAAGAATTATTAAGCAAAATGGAGAAACTGACTGATGAAGAATTAGAAAAAGCTACACCAAGTATTATCAAAGATCATCCCAACCCATATACATTTACTAAACTATTGGCTGAACATGAAGTGGCCAATTCAGGATTGCCTGCAGCAATAGTTCGTCCATCTATGAGTAAATATATATTATATTTGGCTAAATGATTAATTTTAAGTTATTGTATATTTAAGAGTTAGTCTAGTTTATATTTGTTTAAAATTTTAAATATAAATTGTTTTACAAATTGAATAAAAAATAATGTAATAAATATCTTGTAAAATTAGTGATCATTTTGATAATTATTTATTGTTATTTCCTTTTATTTTTATTATCAGATTAGCCATTAAATTACTTTTCAAATTTAATTTTAATTTTTTTATTTCTATTATTTTTTAGTTGTGGGAGCTTGGAGAGAACCATTACCAGGTTGGACTATTTCTAAAAATGGTCCACAAGGTTTTTTGATGGGGGCAAGTAAAGGAATTGTTCGTCGATTACCTGTAGCTAAGGATCTTGTTTATGATTACATTCCAATTGATATTGTTGTTAATGGTTTATTAGTGGCTGCATATGCAATTGAAAGAGACAGGTGAAATCTTTAATATTGAATAAATTATTATTTGTTTATTCAGTAAAATCTATTGCATCAATTATCATTCTATTCAAAACTTTGCTAATTTTATTATTGTTTCAGATCCAAATCATTAAAAATTTATCATTTGACATCTAGCACATGTATGCCTTTCCGATGGTCCAATATTGAACATAAAGTAAATAGATATTTGCATACTTTCCCTTTGGTTAGTGCAGTATGGTATCCTACCTTGAAATTGCTGCCATCATTGTTTTGGTTCAAAATTTCTGCATTTTTTATACACATGATTCCAGCTTACATATTAGACACAGTTACACGAATTGCGGGGGGAAAACCAATGTAAGATGGAAAAAAAAATCTATTCCTTGACACACATTACTAATGTCATTATTTTTAATATTTAAACATTTTATTTGTTAATAGATTGGTGCGTCTCCACACAAATGTTAATAAATCTTTAGGACGCCTCGAAAAATTTATTTTTACAGAATGGAAATTTTATAACAATCAAACCATTTTACTTCATGAGTCGCTTTCTGAAATCGACAAAGATAAATTTACAATTGACATTAGACCAATTGATTGGGAATCATATTTTATTGATTTGTCAAAGGGTGTTCGGGTATATTTAAATAATGAACCTTTGAAAAACTTGAGCAAAGCAAAGAGGAAGGATAAAATGTAAGTTAATAATTAAATAAGCTAAATTAAATACTGATATCTTACTTAAAACTAATTTTATGCTTTTTAGATTACTTCTTCTTCATATTCTATTACAAATCTCAATTTTAACTTTCATTTGGTGGGTCTTCAAATCAGCTCTTGGCCTTACATGGACTCAAACTGGCATGATCGTTCCGATTGCATACTTTCTTCTAAATCTCTTATAAGAAATATATTCCGTGAAATTTTCATATTTTTTTAACAGAAAAAAATTACGTTCACCAATTAAAATACATTAGTAATATTCAGCTTAAATTATATTTTATGATCTGATGAAATTTTAAGTATCGTAAAACTTCTATATATTCAACTCACAATCTGATTTATTCATTTAGTTGTTTTCAATTACTGTTAATATTATTTATACTGCTCAGCGTATTGTTACGATAAATGTGCATTAAATTTGTTAGCAGTTTCGTTACTTAGTGTTATAAAAAAACTTCTGGTTGAGGTTTTTTAGCCATATTTTTATTATACGTAGTAAGTGGAATAATGTGAAATTGTTATTATCAAAGTGTAGTACAATCGAACATTATATAATTTAATTACAATAGTTAACCATTATATTATTAAATTTTTGTAATTTTTCATTCGCACGTACTGATTGTTTAAAAGGGTGTATATGTATAATATAATTGGTGTAGCATTTTATGCTGTAGCTAAATATTTCATAAGTCATATTATATGATTGAATAAAAAATAAAAGTGTATTTTTTACAACAATACCATTTGAGACTAACGTCAATAAATGTATGTTTACATATATGTTAGTGATATGAAGTTTAATATTGTTTTAGTCGTTTTGATTGTTTAGAACTTGCGAATGTTTGTACTCGGCCGATACTATTATTCCAAGCGTATTGTATCAACTGCTGATCATATTGAGATGAAATGTTTTGATCCTTAAAAAATTTGAAAATTAATATTGTTATTATAATTGAATTGATTTTTATTTTTAAATAATTAGATTACATAAATCAAATAGTTTTTCAGTTTGATATCGTAAAATGTAAACAATTTTTAAAAGCCAATAATTCGATGTTAAAGAAAATAAAAATTGTGTAAAGAATTTTTTGCATGTTTTACAAGAATGACTCATTTTGAAAAATTTAAACGTATAAAATAATTGTTTTTAATATAAAAATAATAACAGTATCAAAATAATCGTTTAATATTGTTATTATGTTCTGTTTTTAATATTATTTTGTCACCCATTTCCGCATAAAAAATCTAGTTTTACAAAACGGTTGTTTATTAGTTTCAGGAGCCGAATAAAGGAAAATGTTGTATACTTGTTTCTAATAATTCTTTTGGCTAAATATTATCATCGCAGGTCTGATGCATGTTGATTTTTCTCATTCGACTTGATACATACTATTTTAAGTAAATATTATTCATATGTTTTCCTATATTTAAAAATCTAGTTTTCAAAGGGTTAAGCTACACACACGCACACATGCACACATAGGTATCCATCCAATATCCGGTACATACGTATATCAATTGAATCGAATAAATTTCGGTAAATATAAGTTTAGTATAAATATAAATTTAATACTAATCTAATAAATCTATTGAATGCATTAAAACTTGTTTCGTTGCCTAGAAATATCAAATTTATTTCTATAATAATATAATAATTAAAGGAATTAGAGTAAGTTTAATGGCATACCTTAACTGTTTACTTTTATTTATTACAGCCTTTCTGTAAAAAATGTTTCTGGGTTGGATGGCGGGTTATAGCTTAAATTGCCGATAATCGGTATATTGACTTCTTAAGTTGTCTATATAATAGGGACACACGCTCTACATCTACAGATATATACCATCAATAGTGCATATAATTATCGACATAATCTCGATCAACTGATATTAGATATATAACCTTCCTTAAATTTTGTATCGATTTTAGTGATTCTGCATCGGTAATCTGCATTAGCGGTCTGCAGCGATTCTGCGCGTGCACACACACACACGCGCGCGCGTGCGTGTGTGTGTGTGTGTGTGTGTGTATACACACACATACATGCACATATATATTTATATACATAATCAGCGTTGAATCAGTTCGAAATTTTTTTTAATGTAGGCATATTATTTTTGCAATTTTTTATGCATACTATCTTGAAAATATTTGTACGTTTGTACAAATTTGTGGATTCATTTTTGAAATACTATTCATAAATGTGACCTATACATGGTTTTTCAAGACTTTTTTTACAATAATATCATTCTTAAACGTTATACCGATTTCAAAGATATTATTCGATATCAAATGCAATATACATACTTATTGATCATTCAGAATGATTTTCCTAGACCACAATTAATCTAATATTTGCGTAATCATCGGTCACACTTTTACGCTACAATAATATATAATGAAAAATAGAAGAGATGAATAAAAGTAGTTTGAAACGACACAATCGAAATTATTTACGTAATTACCAACGAAATAACGCCGAATGGTGTATGTTACATAATATTATTACTACCGCATTATACTATTTTTACGAAAGTAACGTAAAATCTGTTGTGAAGAGAGCTATTTTAGGAAATAAAGATGAGTTTGATGGTCCTGAACACTTTGAATACAACTTTGTCGTTGGAAATTTGCCGTGAATGCCCATCAGGCAGCTATAAAAGGTATTTGAATTCTCCCTGTCAATCGTTTAATGCTCAGGCAATTCATTGAAATCTTGACGTGTTTAATAGCGAGGATTTAAAAAAAACAAACGACAGAATGCCGAGATAAAATATATATCCAGTTCCTTGAATAGCGGGGGTTACAGTCCAGTGCGGTGACCGAAAAAATGCTCATGGGGATACAGGCGACCGCAAATAATCGGTCGGCATCAACAGGATACTGGGAGCGGCGAGCACGCGCAAGAGGTATACGTGAGTTCGAGCGCATAAAGCTCTGACCGATCATCCAAGGCAGCTCAGTCGCTTGCCGATAGACTGAGCCGCTGAACGCTCTCAAAAACACCAAAACTAACAACTGTATAGTGGCGCGGTGTCTGCTTTACGAGCAAAACTGAAGTCTACCTTAATGCCTCAGGGAACAAGCTCGTCATTCTACATGCACTAGTGCTCCTTCCTAAGTGGAATTTCACCGCTGAATTTTGAGAAACTTTTAGGCGTGCTTTGCTGCATTTCAAAACGTCTTTGTACACTGCTCAGGTACGTTGCATTTTAAGAAGTATTTTCCGATACTTTTTTCAGAAAACAACTATTAACAATGAGCGTGACAGTATGGTTTTTAAGTTTGCTGATCTCAATTATCTTTACAATACCGCAGAACGCAGTAAATTATAAATAAATGTGTTCGAGAATTAACAGCTTCTAATCGGAATAGCGTGGTAAGTTCATAGTCAAAATTAATGAAGACGGTATTGAAAATTACGTCTCGCTAAAATAAAATTCACAGATATTACGATTTCAACAAAACTAAACCAAGTAACTCAAACTTATTTGTCTGATTTGAAAAATGTTGTTTTTATGCATATCATGAGTGAATAAACAAAACGAAATTGCTATTTTACGTTTATTTGAGTAAGTGATTTACCGTTTTTTAATTGGGATGTTATATTTTTTTATGACAGTGCTTAGACCAGACAAGCTAAAGAACTATTTTACTGTCATTTCATTCAATAGTTGAATATAATATTCTTTAAGTTGTTAGATGTATAAATTTGTCAATTATGATTAATTATGATCAGTTTACTTATACAAATAGCTTCATAAAATTTAGATTGTAAATAATGGCGTTATTGACGCAATCAAGCATTACAAGTCTAACCGCCTACTAATAGATTGCATTTTGGATAACAAAATCAGGCATAATTACGCAATTGAAATGATTTTCAAGGAATAAGAAATCATTGAATAGGAATATAAATCTGTTATACGATATTTGTTAAGGTCAGGTATTGAAATATACTTGAAAATCGGAGTATGGATAATTCTAATAATCAAGAATTCATAATGATTTTTTTAATATTCTGCATAAAACTATATAGCTTGAGTTCAAGTTTAAGGTCGTTCAGAAAATAAATTACCAATTTTTGAAGATTTTAAATTAAATAATATAATAATAATAATAATAAAATAACCTTATTTATGTTAAGAAAAATAAATAGAATAAAAGTAAGATAAGAATACAAAATACTACTAAAAATTACAGGAAAAATGAATCTTTCGATGAATCCGAAAAATGTTCAAGGTAATAAAATCTACTGAAGTAGTGAACTGAATGATTTCGGGATTTCGTTCGTAGAGATGTGACAGAGGTCACACGTTTCGCCATATATGACATTAATTAATTATATAGAGGATCAATGTTGAAGTAGCGTAAGCAGACATTTGCATTGACTCAAGTCGGAGATATAAAACGTATATTCTTAATTCTAATGAAGCAATAGGTTTTTAGTTGGTTTCACAAAATATAAGCGTTATACATGCACAAGCGCTATAAGATTTCATTCACGCGCGATTCAATAATTTGACTGTAGAAAGGAAACGTAGCTAGAATTTTATGCTGAGAGTATAGATATTTAACAGCAATTTCATGATATGTAAATTGCCAAGGAGCATTACTTGGAATGTAGGAAAAGATATTCAAATTAAGCTACTGTATGTTGTGTTTGCGCAGATAAATGATAATGAAATCTTTAAATATTGATGTTTCGGTAGGTCATTGAACGACAGTTCCGTTTTTGAAAATATTGCATAATTTTTAGTTTTTGAAAAATTGCATGTAACAGTGAGATTACATTATTTAAATTCTGAATATTAAATATTTTTATTGAAACACAACGATACTAATATGAAATTACATTTTCGATAATAACGAATAAATTAATACGTCGTTTTGATATTATAAACCAATTTACATCGTTTCATAAGTATTGTACAAATTTACGCCAAATCATATATCAACGTTAAACAAGGTTCATTAGATATTCATATTGAAAAAACTTGTAACTACGAGTGATGTTGAATATCTTCAAAAAATAACAATTATAGCACGGTAGATCGAAACGTTTTGTTAGTAATAATTAAAAGTATCGTTATAACAATAAATTTCATTATAAAACCTATTTAATTCAAACAAATTAAATCGAATGATAGTTGTTCTAGTAAATAATTCAGTAATGTGTCATATTTAAGCTTTGGGAAGGCCTTTTTTTTAAATAATATATATTATTAAAATAATGACTAAAACTATAAATGAAAATTTTCTCAGAAAAGTCAACCCATTTTTAATTCAATAAGATGAAATAAAGTGTAATCTTTCTTCAAGAAACAATACTTAATGCATTTCCAAACGCACTTTACTTTGCAATTGAGGGGAAAAAAATTAACTCGCTTGATTTCTCGTATTAGTCAAGAAAAATTCTACGTCATGACTAAGAGAAACATTTTGATGACAGAAAAACCCAACATCCAATTTCATTGGAAAAAATTTTTTTACTCTCGTCATGAAAATGACGTTAATAATGCGAATAATAAAACAAGCTTCTAACCAGCAATTTGCGGTTGATACATTATCGATCGATTAAAATTACAAATAAAGCGTGTTGGAGATTATTGTATTGAAAAAATTTTTCCTTAACAACGCGAGCATTAAAAGTTACTTCATTAGTTACAGGTGCGAAGTAATTACTGAAAATTATGGTGACTTTGCGAGTTGTAAAAAGAGTGACTGTCGTGACTTTACATTGTCCAAGAACTTGAAGGCAATTCGGCTTTAAAAATTTATAGCTTCAAAGAGCATTCTTCAGTATCTATATTTCAACTAATAAGTATTAGCTTTAAAATGACGAGCAATCCTAACATAAATATGGAATTAAATGCAATTATTATCAGCATAATTAAAATGTGCGTTATTTAGTTAACTTATTTCTTATTGAACTGCAACTTTAGCCAATAACTCAGATGTGAAAGCAGTTGGACTACCAAAAGAAAGCATCTATTTCGTTAGTTTTAAACTAATTGTGTAATTATTTTTCGTCTAGGCTCATAGATAAAGAAAGTGGACGATAACGAGAATAATATCATGGCGAATACAGAGAAACCGGGTATACCGCAATGGTTTCGAGACCGAGAGGTGATAGTTACTGGCGGCACGGGATTCATGGGCAAAGTTTTATTGGCCAAATTACTCAGCTGTTGTCCAGATATCAAAACAATTTACACCATAATCAGAGACAAGAAAGGCATACCTCCAAAAGCTAGACTGATGAATTTAATGAAGGTTTGTCATTTTTAATTTTACTACATAATCACCTATTATGAGGATGTTTTACATTAAAATAGATTTACATTTTACTCCGATATGCAGTAAATAGACAATCATTTATTTCCCGTAATTACCAACGGTATAATTAACAAGTGTATCCAGTCTTTGTTTATCTGAAAAACTGTTTGGTAATTTCTGTCGGTTTGCGGAAGATTAATTGGAAATAAGTTACGTTAGCTTTGGAACTCATTTATCTTTTGTAACCATAATGTATGTATTTTTCACCGTAGCGATGAAATTGGTTGTTCGAATTCATTCGATTTTCTTTTCAACTATTTATGATTTGAAATAGTTTAATTTCGCAGCGTTTCGAAATAATACGTCTGGAATAGGTTTTGAAATATTCAAGCATCTATACATCCGGAGACACCATAAATGCCATACAAAGATCTTATTATGAAACCGGTAACGTTAAGCCTGTGAAACAATGATATTTTTGGCGAAAATGACTCAAAGAGTACACAGCTTGACGAGGCATAATGTGTTCCGTCTGTCAATAATTGCTTGGTTTACGATGACGTTACGTAAATTGTCAATAAAATCCCCGCCGACGCCGCAGCGTCTATGCTGTCGTGCGCTAATTATTCTAATCTCGTGAAATCCCGGCGATCCACGGGCCATTTACCTCGTCGAGCAGTTAAAGCAGTTAGTGAACCAGGAAAGTCGAGGCGAAAAAAACGGGATTCCCGCGAACAACGCATCCTTTCCAGACGCACGAAGAAAAAAAAAAAAAAAAATAAAGAACGAACGGCAGCCCATCCACGCCTTTGCGCACATTGGAACCGAGCATAACCTTGAGCGCGTACATTCGCATCCCTTTTCCTTGAGACCCAGAGCGTTGCTGGTACCATTTGAACTTTGGATCTACGTCAAGAGCGATTACACGACAGAACTGACAAATTATGTGGCCCAGCCCGAAAAAGTGACTGTTTACCGGGTGCAGTCCTTGGCATCGTTTTTACGCTGAACCACTTTCATAGCTGAAGTATACCTTTCTTGTTTCAATAGAGATGAGGACCTAATTACTATTGGATATTGCGTAAGTTGGACTTTGTCGGGTCCTGGCAATAGACTTGAAGGTTTCATATTGCGCAATAATGAATAAGGATTTATAGCCATGGCTATACTATTGAGAAGAAATTACAGTATATATAATTAATTTATACGTTGGATCAATTGATACGCATTTATTATGTTATATCTATTAATCTCGTGATCTGGCACGAACTAACTTACGAAAATTTCGTCAAAATCTCGATAAATTTCTAGATTGGGTTGGGTTCGACTAATCACGCTTCTTTTGAAAAACAGAATGCGAATTCCACTGTGTATGACCAATGGTTTTTTCTGTTTTCCTCGTCTAGCAAATCAAGTTTTCCGTTGAAGTTATTTTACGCATGAAATTACATCATAGGTAGATTGCTGAATTAACTTACTTATAAATGTTGCATAAATATAGTTCAATAAAAATATGTACATTGGTATATATGTTACAGTAAATTTAATTATCGTTTGGATAACACAAAAGCATGATCTAACGAACGACAAGATACTTACGAATTAAGGTACTTATTTAAAGATTTTCAGTATATAATATTCTGTAAAGATGATTGGAATTTGGCATTGCTAACGATCAGTATTCAATTGATTTGATGAAACGTTTCACTTGGTTACTACGACTATCATCGCGCTAAATCAATGTGTACCAATGCTCTTAAGCAATGCAATTATTGCTCAAGCTAATGACTGAATGACTTTCAGTTTGTGATTTTCTTTCACGAGCAATATCCTGTCTGAATTTTCACGTTTTGTTGATCACCATAATGGCCGCGTGTATGCAAGGGCGCGCGACAGACCAATAAAATGCGTGCAAGGTGCAACGAAAGTGTACTTTGTCCGAAGGATATTACACGTAGGTATCGAAGATTTAATGCGATGGCGCGAAAAAGAGAGTGGCACAAATATTTTTGTTGCGAGATCAATTTTTCCACATAAGATAGCGTCAGGTTCCCCACCGCATGTGCGTCATGAGTCAGCAAATTCGCCGTGCTTGGATTTGTTCTTTTCTCATTGCGGTCACAACGACTTGTCATTAATTTGATTGATACCAAGATTGGTTTGCAAAGCAAAAGACGCCATCGCTATATATATGTAGAAGAAAATTGGTATTACAGTTGCATCCTTCGAATTTCCGAATCGCAAATTTTTTTATGTTTGATAGACTTGGGTGATCTTTTGTAGTTTTATATCTGAAATCATCAAAAGAATCTTGTGTCAAGATTAAAGAAAGACTCTGCATTTACGTGACTAGCATCAACCGATGTTTTGTTTTTTCTTGTCTTTTACGGAGCTCCACAGACCATTCTACTTTATTTTTAAAATGTGCACGGATATTTATTTGACATTATTGTATTATATCCAATTTGCTTTTTCATGTAAAAAGATCATCATCACGTGAAATTCCGAATCGTTTCTAAAGAGCAATAAAATATTCGAGCTGACCTATATAATTTTGTGAATTATCCACAAAGTGAAAGGTTCTATAATTGTAGCTGGTGGAACGTTTATCGTACCTACGCTAAATAGAAGTAGTTTTTACCGACTTGAAAAGGAGCTGGTTTATTTGAAAGTGTATGTCCTCGGAATGGTCACATCTCATTGCCAACTCGATTGAGGCATAACTTTACTTTACAAGTAATTGCAACAAATTTTGAAGTTAATATTTTTTCAAATTACTCTTGTAAAAAACATTTAATTGGTCTCATTTGCTTATTCATCACAAAGAAAACGTTACCTCATTATGTATTTGTGGAAATATTTTTCCTTTCTACCTTTCTCGTTTGAAAAAAAAATCGTCGATAACATCATTTTAGTTTCAGTAACATAAAAAGAAGATTTTTTTCTGGAATATGAAATTACCAAAAATCACGTTCATTTAAAAATATTCCTTTTACGTAAATTGTTATCACCACCTCCTCTCTGTCTTTTAACCAAGCAAATATGCGCTTGGCTCAACATAAAAACAAATATATTATTCTAATTTATTTCATGTAATAACTATTTCTTTTTTATTTAGGAAGAGCCATTTAGATTTCTAAGAGAGAATCAACCGGAAAGACTGAAAAAACTAGTCGCCGTGGCTGGAGATACAACGAGCGATGGACTTGGAATTTCTCCACCGGACATTGAGCTTTTGAAAAACGTCTCGGTGCTGATTAACATGGCAGCCAACGTTCGGTTTGATCTACCGCTCAAGACCGCAGTCAACATGAATACACGAGGCACCGCAAATGTCTTGGCTTTTGCGAAGCAGGTATACGCGACATGATTTTTTATTTTGCACCTATCGCTGTTCATCCAACGATGGCTTTTATTTCACTTTTGTTATTCCGCTTATTTTCATATCGTTGAATAATTGTACAATTTGAATGTCGTTTATGTAACGCATCTCCGTATCGCCTTTGCGATTACGGAATCCCCTAATGTGCGTTTTAAGAATTGGCAAAGTGAATTTAAGGTCCGGAAAAAACCTCCAATATATTCGGAATGTACTTAAATATGGCCAAAAACTAAATGTTAAGCGAGAATTAGGAAATCTACGATACGTCTTTGCGAGGATGAACTTTATCCTGCGACTTTTTATAATCAGTAATGCCGGTTCAATGTTCTCTGTTGGTTAATTATTGATGCACGCCGTCTGAACAATAATCTGAAAAATAATGGAAAACTATAACATTCTGTTATAATATTTATAACATTTATTTAAATTTTATAAGATTTATCGTTCATAACAATTTCTACAAATTATACTTTGTATTACATTGATTGAGCGTGTTCAAGAATAAGTCGTTACTACAATCTGATTTTCGAAATTTTCAATAAAATAGCTTTTTGCAATAACCAACCATTGAAATGAACATATATAGTGTTGCATAAAATTTTAGAGCTGATTTTTTAATTTGTAATTGTAAAGCAATATTAACAGAGAAAATTAGCCTTACACAACAGTCCTTACGAATCGCCATAAAATAAGATCGAATAAGACTCGATGGGAAATATGTGCATTTCTTCAATTTTCGTCACAGAATTTTAGCGAACGTAAAAATCTCAATTGCGTTGATAAAATGTAAATTGTCGCATTTCCAGCTAAAAAAATTAGATTCACTGGTGCACGTTTCAACAGCTTATTGCCATTGTGGCGAGGCGACCCTCGAGGAAAAATATTATCCAGTGCCCATATCACCAGAAGAGACGATGAAACTCGTGGAGGAAACACCCGAAGATGTTTTAAGTTCCATGACGGCAAAAATCTTAGGAGATCAACCAAACACTTACGCCTTCAGTAAGTCATTGAGCGAAGACTTGGTACAAAGAAGTGGCCTACCTACCGGGATCGCCAGACCGTCGATCGGTAAGATGAACATTCGTAAAAGATCACGATCTTACCGATTTTTACCTCACCGAAGTTACCACGGCTCGATACGAAAGGAGTATCGTTAGCGCGGTAAAATTCGTTTCAATGAATCGTTATATAATGAAATATTCCGTCGTTTCTAGTGGTCGGCTCACTGAAGGAACCGGATGCAGGATGGGTGGATAATTTGAACGGGCCAACGGGTTTATTGATTGCAGCGGGCAAAGGTGTACTTCGGTCTATGCTCTGCCAACCTGACAATTACGTCGATTTGATACCCTGCGATATGGCTGTTAATGCAACCATCGCCTTAGCTCGTAAAGTCGGCCTCGAGAAGCCAAAACGGCCAATTTTTGTCAATCTCACCGAAAGCCGAGAGAATCCTATCACTTGGCGACGTGCTCTTGACACTGGCAAAAAGCATGCACTCGCTAATCCTTTCTCAGGTCATCTATTCAAATTTTTTTCATCTTTTAAATTTTAATCAATTACTTTTCGCGTTCAAATGAATCCATCGTTGAATGTTGCACGTTATAATTTGTATAACATTGAACTTACAACCGTTTAATAAAACGTTTTGCGCGAAATAGTCATTATATTATAAAAGTATAAACATACGTAATAAAACGTGGCGTCAGATGATACATATTTTACGCGCTTGAAGTGTTGCAGTTGCAACATTAGTTGAATTACTAACACGTGTAAATTAGAAACATTTGTATATAACAGGTCCCTTGTGGTATCCGGGAGGAGACTTTACAACTTCCAAAATATATCATCTGTTTATTGTCTTCTTCTTGCACACCATTCCGGCTTACTTCTTGGATACTTTGCTACGTTTGACTGGAAATAAGCCATTCCTGGTGAACGTACAGGCTCGAGTAACGAATGGGATGAATCTGGTTCATTATTACACAACGAAGGAATGGATATTCAAGTAAGTCTTTAAACTTAACGAGAAATTAGAACATCGCCACACAATACATTTTCGTGAATAAAACATCTTTACGGCCCGGTCGCTCGTTGCTTACGTCAAATTATGACACAACTAATTGCAATATGGGCATTCAATGCTAATCGATGTTTATGCGACCAAAGTGTGCCCAAGATGTCAGTTACGAATCTGCATCTCTCGCGATCGGAAAGCACGACAGCCATTTGCTTTGAATGGCTACAATGCATTGAACTTTTCCGCTTGATTTCATTTTTCACACGTAATAAACAATGATAGTGTGTCAATAGGTTAATTCCTTTCACAAGCTCATATGAAATATGAAGAAATGATCTGTGCTTTTTAGGAATTGATTAACTACCTGCTAAGATTCTTTGTATATAAAAGCAAGACTGTTGTAGCGAATTTCGGTCAGGTTAATAAAAGGCACCATCAAAGTTGCCATACCATGTTTACTTTTCTCAAAGCACGTGTTACATAAGATTATGAAATATTTGCCGAGATATTTTCTTTAATAATATTCTTAAAAATCTTTTATTGTTAATTTACCGCTTAGAAATTGAGATAAAACTTTTACTGAAAGTAATTCTCTTATGGTTGAAAGGAAAATTTAAGGTGTGCCAATAGTGTCGAATATGCAATTGACACGACGAGCCAAAGCCATATGAGAAACGAAATGTTTAACCGTTTATAACGTTATATGTAAGCGTCAAGAGTATTTTTTTAAATTGATTTAGTCTTGATTGCAAAATTATGGCATTTCAAATTCTATTTAAATATTTACAATGTTACTAATTGATGTAACACGAAAGAAAAAATATTAGCTTTGCTTTGAGTGCATTAAAAAACACCAACTTTGCACATTATTTTTAGAATTAGTGGATTGGATTATCTAGACTATCTGTAAAGTATCTTTCAATCATAAACTAATTTGAACAGCTATAATCATAAAAATAAATATGTTTCTGAAAAAAAGTAATAATTAGATTTTTAATGCAGAAAATATAATATACAAAGCGTGTATATGATGAATTGATTCTAATTTAAGATTGAATTTAATTCTATATTTCTTTGCAGAAATGACAACCTCAAAGCATTGCGCGAAAATCTTAATCCTGAAGATAAGGAAAATTTCTTCATGGACATCAGGGTGATCGATTGGAACGACTATCTGCTGACTTACATCCTTGCAACACGGAAATATTGTCTCAAGGATGATCCGTCAACTTTACCGAGAGCTCGTCGCGTTTTTGCCATTCTCTACGTTGTTGACTTGGCAGTAAAAATCGCGATTAGTCTCTTGTTAGTTTGGTTTGTATACTCTTGTTTCTTCTCTTCTCAAATGGTCGTCAGTACAACTGTTGAGTATTAATCATGGACTTTATTAATGAGCATTGTTGTTTGTGTTCTTCGAGAATCTTTTGTATAATATGTACTGCCATTGATTTATTTTTAGTTATTTATAAGCCATACGAAATCAAAATTATACTTTACTCAGTTTTATGAACATATCTATTTATATACTTAGGTGTATCTGTGTATGAACATCATTCTATCAGTTTACATACGTATTTATTATTCATATCATTCATATCGTAAGAAAAATGTTAATCCAAAAAAATATGTATTCGGTTATAATTTTATCATGTTTTAGAGGGATGGCACAGTAAAATAAAATACGTCGAATAAATTTTTTACCCATTTGGATCATGAAATTATTTTTAAGCTAGTTATTATATGATAATTTCCACTTTGTATATGTTACAATATAAATCTAATTACTAATTATTGATCTGATTTTCGTTGAATGATCGTATAAGAGAATTCGCTAGAAAAAAAGTGATTTTTGGGCGTTTGATTGTCAAGTGAATGTAATTAAAAAAATGTTCTGTACGAGATAAATGATCAATAAAAATACTTTCGCCGTGAGATAAAGAAACATTAAGTACTGTGTTGGTGGAACATCAAAAACTTTCTTCGCGTACAGAGCAATGGAAATTCGAATAGTGAAGAAAAAAAAGGCGTGTGGAGAGGCATCCATACTATCCATAGGCCGGCGCGCGTGTGAGCCAGTCATCTAGCGTCCTGAAATATGACGAAATCGCAGGCGAGCTCGAGCGTTGACAGTGGAATATATATGTGTGTGCGTGTGTGTGGGTGTGTGTGTGTGTGTTGGCTGCTTGCTCCCGCACAGTCATGAAAGTCCGTTGCGCCATTTGCCCCGCGTGTGCGAGTGTATGAGTCTAAACGAATATATCTTTCTCCGCAATCCAAACTGCCCGTTCAGCACTCCAGCTACTGTGGATTCTGCGGGGCAGAAACCACTCATACATTAAACGTAAGTTAATGTATGAGTAAGAAGGTCAATTGAAAAGGAAATATTTGCATGAGACGAAAACGTAGTTTTCGAGTTCAAATCCATGTACAAATTACATATTGTACTGATGTCTGACCAAACTCGGCTATTTTCTACTTGAAACTACACTGGCTTTCTTTGCAACGAGTTATTTGCACTATAGTACATTTTTCAGATCTTCTAACAAGTACAGTCCAATTGATCAATTGCATTCTGCTTTTTTTAATTTTGCATCATAATTTTTTTACGTTTTATTCATATAACACAATGAAAGTACCTTTAAAAATTGCTATATTCCCTTTCTTAAGTTTTTACGTTTTGTGCTACGTTTACAGAGTGGGTTACTTATAACATTAATTTTTGAAAACGATAAAGAATATACTTTTCGTAATATAAAGTACTATCATGCAATTTTAAATAGAATAAAAAAATTACTTCAAACAAGTAGCTTTTGATTAAACAAATTAGGTAATTTTTTGTTTGTGAAATTGACGCGGAAATTGGAATTTTTAGGTCACTATAGTTGCATAAAGTGCTAGGAAATTCTTCATCTCGAAAAATCCCGAAGGTAGATTATAAGCGTAAGCTGTAAAAATAATCACTTCGAGGTCAGCGATAAAAGATGAGAAAAAGTAATTTTAGATATTGCTATGTCATGCTTTTTTACTGAAACCAGTTCGTAATAGAGCATAATAGTAGGAATGATTATTACAACTGAAGCTTATCTCATTGCAATATTAAACAATTAAATGCAGATTATTTATCATATTGGTAGAAATATGTTACGCAGATAAAAGCAAAATTAAAAAGATAAAAATGTACGTTCATTCAGAAAAATTTCAAAAATTGTATACATTATTATGTGGTAAGTGTACTCCTACTTTTTTAATTAATACATATCGTAACTACATCAGGACGTAAGTTACAGAGTTCTACGTTTTTGTGACTACACTCTCTAATTATATTTTAACAGAATTCAGAGGTCATTTATTTTCTTTCATTGTTCATTTAGATTACGTGTGACGAGAAGTAAATGAAACACATATATGTGGGAACATATGTTAAGAGAAACTCATTAAATTTCAGTGAATATTTCAACAATATTAAAAGATTTGAAACGGTCCACATTAGATGACAAATATGCTCATTGATTAGATTTTTTTTATGTTTTTCATTTGTCTCTTCTAAGTAAAGTCTAAATATTCTACAATTGTCTATTTATATAAATTTAATTTGAGCTCATGTCTAATAATCTACATTTTAGTTATTTTTTAAAATATGTCTTCTGCCATAAAAGAAAGATAATACTCGTTGCACGATCTTATAGCATGACTTTCGGTGATAAATAATTAAATATCATTTAAATGTGCTATGTTGAAAGGATTGGAAATAATTATCATTATTGTCTCTGAGCCGTTATCTTTTTAGCTATACAAATATAAATATTATGCGATTTTCAATGCTTATCATTGTATTTGCTGTTATAGTTATGATTACTTTTCGAAACTCCGTGCGCAAGGACTTGGTTGACGCACGCTCGAGCAAGCAAAGATGCTTCCAATTTCCTCTCGTAGACGTCGCATCGAAAAATTAAGTTAGATACATGCGCGATAAAGTGATTTCACCCACGTGTGGCCTCTTCAAACGTCCACAAGAGGCTCAAATCACTTTCTCGCATTAGTAATGAAATGAATGCAATCTGTGCATTTTGTACAGCGATCGATGATAACTAGAAAATAAACGAGGAACTTAACGTAATACAAAAATCGCAACAAAAGAAAATAACTGTGATTATTTGAAAAAGAAAAGAAACACGCTGATTTCCATCGATGGAAGTTAACTCGTTGATATAGTAAAAACCATGATATCAATGATTATAAAAATAAGGAAGGACTTGATTTCTCGGATTCTGGACTGAGATGTCTCGTGAAAATCACGAAGAAAGACGTCAAGGGTAGAAAGAGGGATGGGATATTGGGAAAGCGTTAACGGTTTATGCGAAATAAGACAAAGTATAAACGAAAATCTCGTCCAACAGCGTGATTCGGCCGTTTCTCCCTCCCTCTCAAGAGCGAGCGCAAACGCGTGTAAGTATAAGCCTCAAGAAAGACCAGGAGAGAGAGAGAGAGAGAGAGAGAGAGAGAGAGAGAGAGTGCAGCGCGTTTTTCGCTGGGATCTCAGTTCGGCCGATCGCTTCCGTGCGACAACACGTCGTTTTTTCTCAGCTCGCACTCCTATTATTATTGTTTGTCTTTACACGCACGCACCAATACATAAATATATCGCCAACTGGAATTTTTCATCCACCAAAGCAAGATTCGAAGCAAGGCGAGCACAGTGGCCCGCTGACGACTACTCGAAGAATCGCTTCTCTCTTCTGTAAGTGCATCATCATCACCATTGTTACATGCTTCGTGATCCGAGTGAGTGTGTACCGCTTGTGCGCAGAGATTTCTTTTCCTTTTCATTCATTCAACGTCTCTCGTCTCGGCGTTCAGGCTCTTTCGCAACGATTTTTCCTGGAATTTGTGCGTTGGCACACGCGGAAACAGTCAGCCAATTTTTTTTTTTCTCTTCTTTTTCTTTCGAGCTCTCTTTTACTTTTTCTTCGATCATTGCGGCATGCAATATTTCTCGCTTTGTCGAAGCTCTGTTTCACGTGTCCACGGACGTTTATTTGTGCTCGTCACTTTGAAAACCGTTCAACTGCTATATGTATGCAAAACACAATGTCTTTAGGCGACACATTAATAAATAAACAAGAAAGTTTCGAAAGTGAAACCACGTTGTTTTTAAAAAGTTGTGTTTGATATACACGTGGACCTTGAAGTGTGTTCTTTTACATAGTTTTACATTCTTTAAAAAGTATCATGAAGCACGTGTGGTTACGAAATACGCGTCTATTCGCGTTCAATGAATTTTCAAGTGAATTTCCCAACTTCGACACTCGCTATTGATTTATCTTCGGAGATTACGATTTCACGAGGCATTTTAATCGAGCGCGCCAAAAACTTTGTCGTCGAAGCCAAACGTTCGATGCAGCGCACACCAAAGACTCTCCTATTTATTTACTTTTCCGATTAGCCAATTGTTTTCTTTTTCGTTAACAAACAGCCCGAAGCTTGATGAGCACGCGATAAACTGCAGCGATCAGCATAAAGAGAAAAGCGAGTGCCCGCACAAGCAGAAAGAATCTTTTGAAATATTGTGAGACTTTCGCGATTTGTTTATAGAACGATCTGACGTTCGAAAAAACATGACCTAATAGTCAGGCAATGAGTGCCTTAACGCGCGCTACTTTTGAAGCTTACGTAAAGGACTGGTGTGCGTGTAGCACATAGCGCGCGCCGTTAGAAGCATGCGCTTTAGACGCTGGCCAATGCAAAACATGTTTCTCCTTTCGTTCGGCAATGCCTGCGAGAAAGGGGCACGGCTCGCAAAAAATTTCGCCTGTTGCGACAATTCAGGGACTTTCGAGCAATGAGACTTGGTCATTTCGTTCGATGGAAGATTTTCCGCCGAGTGATTATCGTATCTGCCGCGAAGTGCACGCAGCCAAGCGGTTAGTCCAGGCCGAGCCCCCTCGTTTGCTCGCGAAACAGCGATATAATCGAAAGTAGTGCAATGCTTGTACGCGTGGCGAGAGAGCGGCGTGCATTCAACAGCGTTGCGCGGCTTTTTCTCACGTGCGTGCAGACTTTTGCGCCGATCAATTGACGATGACAATCGGGCCTGGGTATCGGCTCGAAGCCATGAAGAAATATCGTCAATTGAGAAATACGCGTTCGATTGCCTATTTACGCTCTTTTTCGGCGCGCGCACACCGCATACTTTGCGCATACCTCCGCGCTTACTTTTGTAAGCCCCATCTCGTTAGCCTCTCTCGCTGTGCATGCGGAATTGTGTTTGTCCGCCGGAGTAAAGATTTGAGTATGTGTGTAGATAGGACAACAGGTGTGTATTCTGCTTTTGCAACTGTTCCAAGGATATGGGTCAACGAAAACTTGAGTTACCGCTATTCAAACGCCATGATAAACACTTGAAGAGATGTTATGTCCTTATATTAAGATAGTTTTTTATTCGACTGTGCCTCCACTTTTTTTTAATTTATAGAAGCATTGTCATCGTAAAATGATTCAGCTAGTTGGGAGCTCGTTGGTCGTTTACAACCGCATGATTATTGAAGAAAATTATCAATGAAATGATAAGTTTTATTTTAGGTCAATGTAAAAGAGTAAACGCCGATGAAAAAATAATCATTAAGACTAATAATAATTTTATGATCTTGGTCACACTGTATATTTATAAGTATTCTCGACAAATATACATCATCGCGATATATACTCCCCTCCACATGCTTTTAGGCACCCAACAAAATCGGCAGAGCTAAAAAGTGTTATTATTCGGCACCTACAAGTCGTATCTCAAAAAATCGACAAGCATTCAAAAGGCGAGATGAAAACCTTTCACAAATGCTATCGCAGCCTATCAAAACATCCTAGTTTTAGTTTTCTGTGACTAATAAAAAAAGATAAAAAAATGTCCGCAGGTTCGAAAGAGTATTTCTTCAGCTTTAAAATAAGAGGTTAAGCACATTTTCCGATATTTTTAACTAACTTAAAGAATTTTTTGTAACAAAATGATGTTTTCTTTTAAAACGTGAATACAAAAAAATAAGCGAGAGATAAAAGATGTAGTTTTATCTATTGAACAAAGATCTACAATTTAAATTTTATTTTGAGAAAAACTTTTTTTTTTCAATTATTCAGCGTGTTAAAAATTTCTTTTTTAATTTTCACTAAAGTGTAGTCAATGAAATACTTACAAAACTATGTTTATTTTTTTGTACTCAAACGATTCGTACATAAAATTACTATTTTTTTAAACAAAATTACAAGAATATTTATAAAAGCAATTTTTTATTAAATAAAAAAAAACAAAACATTATTTGAAGACCGGGTTATATTGTATGAAATAAAAAAAAAGCAATCTTGAAAAACAATTATTTTAATTTAGTTTTTTAACACGCTAAAGAAATCGAAAAAAATTGTTTTTCTTAAAATCAAATTTAAATTGTAGATCTTTTCTCTTTCTAGAGTGTTTTTCTATCTCGCTTATTTTATTATGTATTCGCGTTTTAAAAGAAAACCTCGTTTTTTTACAAATAATGTTCTAACTTGGTAAAAAATTATTGGAAAAAATTACTTAACCTTTCATTTCAAAGCTTAAGAAATTCTCTTTTGAACCTGCAAATAGCTTGTTTTTTCATTTACGGGATCTATATCTGCAGCATGTTAAAGTCAGATGACATTTTTTACATTTTTATCTTTTTTTATTAGTTATAAAAAACTAAAATTTGATGTTTTGAAAGTCTGCAATAGCGTTTTTAAAAGGTTTTCACCTCTTCTTTCGAATGCCTGTTGATTTTTTGAGGTACTATTTTTGGGTGCCGAGTAATAACCCTTTTTAGTTCTGACGATTTTTGTGTTGAGTTCCCTAAAACATGTGGAGGGGAGTGTATATGATTTTTTCCAATCAGAGAGAGAGAGAGAGTCAATTGATACACGTGAACGAATGTATTTAAAATATATTGTTACATTATATGTAATTTATCAAAACTAGTTTTATATGAAAAGTGCGTACAACGGCGTATGTTTTGATAGGATGTGTATAAATCCGATCTACGTTCTAAAAGTTTTCTTATAAAAAAGTTTCACTGAGAAACCACTTCAAATCGCCAATCGATCCAATCTCCGATGTACTAATCCAGGCTGTTTTATATAACCAATCCTTTTCGCGTTTGATCCTATAAAGGCAAAAATCACGAATCTTCGACAGGTAAAATTTCATCGTATAGAATGCGTTATAATGGTCTGTAATTACGAAGCATGGTAATGATTAACAAACTTGTTTGAAAGCTTTGCAGCGCAAAGCGTCAAAGATCACACCGATTGTACGCAAAAAACCGAACGACAAGCACGGATATGGCGTGGATGATTATCCAGGGTAAATAGCTCGGACAAACATCTTTTAGCTTGTGCTTGCGGATCGGTGAGACGAGTGTCCGTACGCGAACGTCGAAAGACTGCTTCTTTTTTTCTTTCTCTTCTTTTTTTGAATTGTCCGTCCGTGCTCATGCCCATCTAGATCCGCCTCGAGCGCACGCACGCGCGCGCCACTGGCTTTATATTTTATGACGTTTTAGAAAGTCGTCCGCAATTATACGCTGCCGATATATATATACTTACACCAAAGTTTTGCTAATTCGACTAAATCCATTTTTCATCGCCATCAACAGTACGGGAGCTGTGTTAATGCTTGCCAAATATGTTTTGCCACGTGGCATCGGTAGACAATCAAATGTAAGTGGTCAGCACTGAGACCACGTTCATTTAACATACACGCGCGCGCGCGTATATGTGTGTGTGTGGATTTTATATTTACGCACGATATGCTGCGCTTGCTCATTCAGTTGACTTCCATGTAGTGATGATCGTGCAAAATAATTTATTTTGATGATGATAATGATATTGAAACGGTTATGAAAAAATAGCTATGACTGATGAAAATATGATTAAAAGTAGGACAGGAAAAAAATGAGGTATAAATGTTTATGTCGAATCATCATTTTCTCCGTTTATCAATTTATGACGAATAAACCAAACAAATATTTCAGCAAGCAAAACAACAACCCAAATTGCTTTTAATAAGAAGTAGACTACATAACAAATGTGCACCCAATTCAATTTTGAAGATTAATATACATTTCGTAGAATTTCATAATAACCATACACTGTTTCATGTACGTTCATTCGGACAAGTTCCTTTTCCACCAATTTTCTCATACCCCCTTGTGGAAGAAATTTAATAGTATTTGATTATTTAATCGCATATGAAAGTAATAATAATGATCCACAGTTAGCGATGAGCAACTTCCTACGATTCCATGTGTAAATTCTTGGATAGAAATGCATAAGATTCGTCTCAGAATTTTATCTAGAATAACCGTCCACAAATAATCATATAATTATTATATGATTATTACGACGCAAATGCTAAGCATGAGTAACCAATAATAATTAATACTACATTCAGATGACCTTAATTCTTAGATTATTACTTAAAAAATGAGCTATGAGAGCTTTCTGACGATACTTGTATGTCCAAAACAATTTCATTGTCAATTGATATTTTAAACAATGGCGCAATCGTTACGACTATCTGAATAAACATTAACTTTTATTGACTACTGGCACACCTTCATTAAGGATATTCTCTTAGAACAGTCGAGTTAGAAAAACTGTGTTCGTCAAAATTGTCGATTAACAGGATTACCTATATTGAACATCTCTCGAAGATGACACATAGTTATTCGAAGATGATTTGACTACATAGAAATAGGGAAAAATTGATAAAATCATACTATAGTATATCGAACTTTTGTGCGGACTGTACCGTTATATAGAAACACTATTGGCACTATGAGACATATAACTTTTGACACTATGAGACATAAGCTATAACTTTTTAACGAATACCGGTATTTTTGTCTTTTACTATTTTGGTTGATCCCTTATAATCTTTAGAATCATATATTAGTTTTTCAGAGAAAATGTCAAATTTACAATTGAACGAAATATACAGCGAAAATTAACGTAGCCTAGATGATACGTTCGAAATCTAAAATTTGAAGATAAATATCTCGTTTTTAAATGTCGTTGTTTGTATTAAATTTTTTACGTTATGTAGGTAATGAAAAAAGAAACTAATTATCAAAGATTGAGAGAAATCTAAAGAAGTGATTTTCAAGAGAACGTATGAATTATATTAAAAATGTCATACCCCATTCAATTACCAGATGCTAACTATTGTAAACATAGAAAAGACTGGTATAAAATAAGATAAAAATGTTAGTTTGACATAACTAAAACTATTAAAGAAATGTAGAATACCAAATGACACTGGTATGCGTACGTTGTAAAAAAAAATAAAGAAATAACCGCTATTTTATAATGGTACATGTTGTGTTTAACATTTGAAAAAAGCTAAGTAACTGAATTGCCCATGACACATTTCGAGACGGAACGATTTCTGGAGTAAAGACAATATAACCGTGCATACTTCGCATGAAAGCGAAGGCAGCAAATAGCGTTAAAGATTTCAAGGGTATCCAGTGTCGTCATATGTTTTCATCGCGTAAACACCAAATTGCAGTCCGACAAGTTCAACAGTATAAGCTCTTGCGAGCATCCTGGTCTACAGTACATGCTAGCAATTACACTTTGCGCTGGAAAACGACATTGTAATACAAACGCGACGAAGTTCATTTTCTGTTGGTGATATTTGGTTCGTTCTGAGAATTCTCAGCCACGCGAAATTGCACTGTTTAATAGCTAGAAAAACACTTTAAATAATCAATCAGCTAGTGTGACGAATCAAAGTCTAACGAATTTCAAAATTGATTAGATCGCTTTAAAACCTTCAACGGTGCCGTATTATTTTGAAGAAGCAAAGTTCAATTGTTTTACAAACTGTTCCAATCACTCGAAAAAATGCAACTCTGTTCGACTCACTTGACATGTAGTATTGAAGCCAAACGACACATATAATAAACAGTATAATATCTGTAAAAAATTATTTACTTAATACAATAATAATCATTTTGTAAATTATTTCAGAAATAATGGCAAGGGAGAACGGTTACACACAAGCCATGGCGACAGCCAAGCTCGAGGAAATGCCCGACAGGATAGCGGAAACAATGAGAGGTCGAGAAATCTTGATCACAGGAGGCACAGGTTTTTTGGGAAAAGTTGTCGTTGAAAAGTTCCTGCGTTGTTTACCCGAAATCGCACAAATTTACCTACTGGTAAGGCCTAAAAAAGGCAAGGATCCACAGCAAAGGCTTGACGACATATTCGATTCAGCGGTGAGTTTCAAATCACACCTTCTTTTATTTCTCTTTTAACTTGTAATAATCGTGCAGAAAAATAAGAAAAATATGTCACTCGATTATATTAACAATACCTCATCTTCTGTTTGCACTCCTTTTATGCAGATGTGACTCACCAGTTCAGTTAAACGTTCTTATGTACCCTTTCGTCAAGAATTAAGTACTTCTTGAGACACACCTGTTTCATAAGAAGTTTCAAAAAACAATATTCCTCTTATGGGAAAAATGAAGGCTATATGCGAGCCGTCACATGCAATGATTGAACGTACTATCTTAATAAATCTGTCACGCACAATACATAGAGATTCAGTGAAAATGGATCATTATGGTCAAACGTCCATGTTAAAATTAAAAACTTGTAATTATTTTCAATGTCCAACTTGTATACTAATTTATTAAACACTAAAAATTCGAAGCGACTTATATTATCGACGCGACACGTGAGGTCAACCGTTGGACGCAAAAAGTTGAAAAGTGTGCTTTTGCAACAGGCAAAATCTACAATGTGTTATTCATCAAGTTGCCGCGCGAATAGGGTATAGAGGTATGCTTAGTCTGCGGTATCTCTTACGCACAACAACAACTGTACAAGCACGTAAATCCGTGTAGAGGAAATGATTTGTTCTCGTGGTACGAAAGCTCGCTGGCAAGCGAGGTGTCGCTGCCGCTTCGAGCTAAACTTTCGCTGCGTCTGTCCGTATGACTTTCGTGCGCTTCGTGGGACTTGTTAACTGCCACCTAATAAGTGCTCGCGGTCGTACGGCAATTTCTCCTTTTCAAAACTTACATACCTCTTTGAGCCTTTGCTATTGTACACTTAGCTGCTGTCTAATAGCTCTATATGTTATTAGGTTACAATTCTCACATGCTTTTCGTGTCGTTCTTAAATATGATCAAGTTTAAATTTCCATAATATTTCTAATAGATTAGAAGTGTTCAAGTAAGCAGTCGGATTTTTTACAGAAATAAGCGTAAATTTTATCGAATAATATCTCCTTGCACGCGAAAATCTATCAAACTGTTTAACGACAAGATATTTTCATACATCACAAACTTTATCGAAATTGCCTTGCGTCTATAAATTGTAGCATTACGAAAGTGAACGTATGACGTTGTTCTAAACTTTAACATGCATCAACGTGAATTTTCACTTTTTCTCTTGGCGTGGAAAAAATTCAATAAATACACAATTTATCTGTGAGACTATCAGTGAGAAATGTTTTTCAAAAGAATAATACAGCTAAAGAGGAAATTGTAAGAATCACTTTTTTAATATATTTACATATACACTTTCAAAACTTTCGTAAAACTTGTTTTGAGTAAAAAAAATGAAGAGAAACCTTCAGTTTCGTTTTGTATGTATGATGGGCGATTGACGAATTTTTTTGGCAAAAATATTTCTACAAACATAGTAGTGTGTACGACACTTGAAATCAGCTTCATCAGCTGTACTTACAAATGGAAACCATCATGTAAACTTACAAATACTAAAAACGCTGAGTCTTTCATGCCCGATTATTTTTCTCTTTCTTCTTATATTTGTATTTCGATATCGCTATCAATTATCAGCTTGTTGATGAAATATATCGCATTATATTGTATTACTATATTTATGTTATAAATTATTAAGTTTCATATGTACATAATTGTACTACAGTATTCTTACAAATAAGAGGAAATTCTCTTCTGTAGGCTGGTGGTATACTGATTAATGCCACTTCACCATTTGTAAATTGTACAATAAATAAATAAAAATAAATAAATGATAATTAAAACTATCTGAATGTGGAAAAACCTTAGCGCATATGAAGCCGGATTTTATAGTGTTCGTTAGATTCATTTAATGCGCACGATAGATGACTAAGACAACAATTTTCGCAAAAGACCTGGAGTTTTTTCTACTTACTTTATCACAGCTCGTTAAGGAATGGACAATAGCTATTTAATATTTCCTTGTTATATTTTGAAACCCCTTTTTTACTACTAACTACTTAAAAAAATCAAATTTCACCCGTGCGTTACGTGAACAATAATTAGGAATTTTCTTATGCAATTTCTAGGCTCTCCGGTTACTACGATCCTGATAAAATATATCTATGAAACTAACGAAATCAGAAGGGAGATGATAAACGTGAAAATATATTACCCAAAACTGAACGACTAAATGAATTGATCGGTAAAAAAATGTAAGGGTAAAGCGTTATTGAAGTAACAGAATATTAGTTTGTAATTATTTATTATACAAAGTAAAGTTTGGCACTGGTTGAATCATATCTAGAAGGTTCTTTTTTATAAGATCGAGATTTTTTTGTTTACTAGAACTGAAAATGCTAACATTATTCTACTTAGCGTATTACCTATAAAATGTTTCAAATTGTGTCCCAGTCAATAAAAAAATATATTCGATTAAAACATCACTACCTATGCGTGGTTTTTGAGCTTAGCTACAGATAAATAAAAAATTAAAAAAAAAAAGTTTAGTAATTACTTTTGAGACCTTGGAAAGAAAATCAACATCAAGATCTAATGCGGACAAAATTTTACGAATCTAGGTAACGCACGTGCGGTTTGATTGCAATATATTTCAATTAAAAGGCACCGAGTGAATTCAATTCGAAGCTGAGCAAGGTACTCTGGCAACAAGGTAGTCTGGTTTTCGCTGAGATGGCTCAGTTATCTGATTTTATCAAATGTGAACTGAAGAAATCGTTGCTTTTATGTAAGCTGGACTCTCATTCTAGAAATGAGCCTCGTTGATTTATTGCAATAGACCGAACGATAGTTCTTCTAATTTAATATAGATTTTAAATACTGCTAGCAATGAGTAGGTGCCCCTCCTGAAATTATAAAGTCGAAAAAATAATATTATACATTAAAAACTACGTTCTAACTTTACTTGAATAAAAGCGCTGCAAAATACGTTTTGAGGCTGCAGTTTAACTTCGTTTAGTTTAACTCGAAATGTCGATCGATTCATTCAAGTATCTCCCTTTGAAAAAAAAGCAAAAAAGCAAATTAGCGCGAGATTTCATTCCCGAGCTTCTGATTGACGACGTAGGGAAATGCGAATCGGACGTTGATAATCTTCGAGCGTGCGCGGCCTTGTTCCTTTTGATTTCGGTTTCTCGCCGCCACAACACATGGAACGCACGAGCTGGCATGACTGAGCGTTGCCGTGGTCCAGCTATAGGTCGTTCCGCGCGTGCATTGCGTTAGAGCCGGGTGCTCGCTTGAGAGTGAAAAGTGACATAACCGCGGCAACGGCTTCTTGAATAACTTTCACCCAGTGCGATAATGCTCAGTCGAGCACGCGCGCTCCCAAAGGCCTTGACTCTGTTTCTATAGCTGCTTACGTTGCGCCGCGACTCTCTCCCTCTCTCTCTCTCTCTTTCTCTGTTTCACCTGCATTTGTCTACCAGCGAGGCGCTCACTTTTTCGCCTCCCGGCTTGTTTCTTTCATACGTATATGCGTGCGCGGCGTGGGCAAGCGCTTGTTTTCACTTTTCTTCTCTGCGCGCCTTGGGCGCCCGGCAGCACTTGTGCCTACGTTTTCTCCCGGGGCCTCTCTTTTTTTTGTGCGCTACTGTCAATTCAGAGCGACAAATATACATAGGTGGGGGGCAGTTCGCGCTCAAGTTTGGACGATTGCATCAGCTTCTCACCGGTTTCCAACTTTTATAGACGTTGCTTTTATGCTTTTCTTGATATACTGTTTCATTTTTACGGGCTATTGACATCGTTCATTCCATGCTATTAAGAAATATTGGTATAATTGACAAGTTTTCCAATGCTTCGTCGAGCAAAGCTCCAACACAAAAAGTTTTTAATAACTTTGTTGTATGGCGATCGGCAAAGCTAAGCACAGTTGATCCCCGAATGGGTGACTGTCCCGACGATATCACTTTATTCATGAGCGATCGTATCTTCACACAAAGTCAGTAGGAGTCGTAAAGTATTTAACACAAATATTAAACATTCGAAAAACCTAAGCACTTAGCCCCATGGGTTTGGCTGTAGGTTTTTACACTTCACATTCACATACGCAAATGCGACATGATGTAGATCTAAATAGATTGAGGACATTTGTACTTCGGAAAAAATATAACCATTCTATGGAAGATATCCAAAGTTCCTAGAAAATCCCCTGGTATAGACTTTATATATATGAAAATAAAGACGTCAAAGACGCAAATAGTGGATATGATATATTCTTGTAACAATTTTATAGCCGAGCTTTATAAATTAATGCCCGATTAGAAACAACGTAAGCGTCTAACTAGCTCATGAATAGTTAATGCATGTAATCCTAAGATAATAAGTATACGGCGTGAAATCAAAAGTTCAAAGCCCGCAAATACGAGAATCCTCTTGGAATATGAGAACCACGTGACTGTGAGGAACGGGTGAGAACCAGAGTATCGACGCACGTATGTACACTATAAACATAAGAAGGACTTGCTAATATCATTGCAAGGGTCAATCTTTTCCGGAAGCTTCTGTCAACGTCATTAATGCAATCTTTGTGCACTTTTGATTTATCTATAAGCCATTCAGTTTTTGTATTTTTTTTTCATTTTATTTTCATCTTTTTTCAGTAACTTCGTTATTTATATTAGGTAGCATTTGATTAATTTATGTTACTTATACGAGTGACGATCGTGACTTTCTTATTTTTATTTTTATTTCGCAGTATTGAAGTACTATAATTTTAATTATCAAGTTATTCAAATTCGGCGATTATCTTTCGTTCCGAAAAAATGATAGTCAGTTTCTCTTTTCGTTAGATAATAGCGGGCGAGGCTAATTGAATACTTCAGTGTTGATCTGCGAGCATTACATACATCTGTGGTGTAATTTTTAGCTTGAGCACATTAGTGTAAATCTACGTTTTTTTTAATTTATAAAAGTATTCGACATCGAAATTACAATAATGCAATCAATATGCTTATTTGATAGTTACAACTTAATCTATTCATATTGTTATTATTATTTAAACTAATCAATTAAAGGAACTTATGGAAATATTTATTCAAAATGTTAGAACAATTTTGACGAGTCCAGATAGTCACGTCATTGAGAAGGTGCGCGTTGGTCATATATCACGTTGCTTATTCCTCTTGGCTCACCAACAGAGAAAGTAATCGCAGTTGCGAAGGTGCGGGGAGAATTCACCAAGCAGGCGTAAATGCTTCTCTCAGTGTATGTATTAAACATTGCAATACAACTAGAGAACAATATTGGCGTGTCTTGTGAAAAATTGACACCTAAAATGCAACAGAAACGAGTGATTTTATTGTCACCATATCGCTCTAATTATTTTATGATAAAGTATTTTAGTATTTTATATTATGTTTATTTTCTGTGCTGATGCTCTGAAAACGCATCAATCGTAAGAATAGAAATTGGAAACCCATCTTCATTTTACTTATCCATATATGTGATTTGCTGTAATATATGGTATTACAGCTGTATTGCATTACGTTCGTTATATAATAAGTCTCCAAAAGTGAAAGAGCGTAACAAACACACATGTAAAATTTTTCGCAGATGACAAGACAACATTTTTATTTCGTGAAATAAACGTAATAAATTCATGACTTGCATATTATTGATGCCATTTATATCTAAAATAATATTTATGGTATTTTATTAGCGCATGCAAATTATCATTTTTCTTATTATAAACATTGGGAAGAAACAGTTCCGACGAAAGAAAACCGGAATTTAATTAAAATCGAAATAAATTTATTTCATATGGACTCAAAGAGTTGCATTTAAAAAAACACATCGAATACATGCGATTCTTTAGCGAGCTGAATGAATATCTTAAGTTCCTGGTTATTAACACGAGTATAGGTCAGTGTAACTTTTATAAAATATACTGTCCTTATAAATGTTATTGTCATATACAAATTGCAGATGTCTAGAGCTAAAATTCACTATTCAAATATTTATTATTGAAACTTATTTCTAGGAAACGTCTAAACCTATTTTTCTTCAAATTTAATAAAAAATTACTTTAGTTTATTCTAATAATTAGCATTAATAAATAAATATCGGACTCGATATTTACTGTTAATTATTATCATTTATATGTTCTTCATTATATTTATATTGTTTGAATTTTGAAAATAAATATGGCAAGCTTATATTCAATTTATTGGTTTTAAAAATAAAACTTTGAGAAACAGATTATTTGAGAATAAATAAGAACTAATTAAACATAATTTTAAATAAAAATACTGCTGACATTGATGAAGATAATCATCAACTATTACGGTCGCAGCACGCATGCGAGTAAGCATCCCCTGAAAGTGTTTCATCATCTTGATAGTCTCCACGCGTGTTATACTGACGCATCTAATACCCAATGGTAAAATCAAAAGTTCAGATTACCTTTCACAAAAAGTTATAGTTTAATTAAGGCAATTTCGAGAAAGTTTTTGTCAAACAAGATTTTTTCATTATCGTTTTCTTGGACAACTTTTCGTCGCAGGTTTTGTTTCAGGTTGAGTATTATACGCATACTACGCACAATACTACGTATAATAAGCTGGAGTAACGTAGTGTACTTGTCCTGCATATTAATTACATACTTAATTTGGATTGTAAAAACCGTCTGAATTACAAAAAATGTCAGTATGGTCTGAATACTAAAATGTTCCGGTGCTGATAATGTAGGTCTTTGGTCGCAACCTGTGTGTAAATACGTTTCTTGAAACGCAGACTCGATCAACTGTTCATATAAAAAATTTATCAATTTGTAATTATTGATTTAATTTACAAAATTATCAGATAGCCATTAAGCCACTATTCATCAAGTGCTCAATTCTAAACACTCGTGTCTATGGATTTTATTTTGTGTAGTTGTGGCGAGCGCACCGAGCCATTCGAACCAACATTCGAACGTGGTTGAGAAACAAAAGTGTGAGCATAGCAACGAACATTCATTTCGTTTAATGAAAAAACATTTCTATAGTTAGTCTGTCAATTATATTCTTAATAAATAGATGTTGTGATATTAACCAATTGACTTATTACTAATAGGAGTAAATACTCGAACAAATAACCATTTATTCCTATATAGTCCTGTTAATGAATAATTTTCCTCATTTTTCTTGCCTGCCACTCTTTTTTCAAAAAATAAAACTTACATGCGAGTAGGCTGCCGGTAATAACTAGAGCCTAGAGATTATTTTAAAATCAATTTTGTGATTGCAAGCCAATAAAAATTGAATTTAACCATTTTTATTATGATTACAAAGCCGCAATTTTGACATGTTATCTGATCAAGTTCAAAATTGCCGCTTCGTAATTATGAAAATTGTTAAATTTAATTTTTTATTTTTACAATACACTCTAGGCTCCAGGTATTAACAGTAGCCTACTCGCATGTAAGTTTTACTTTTCGAGAAAAATATGACAGTCAGGGGGAATGGATAATAAAATTACAGTCATATTAGAATGATAATTTACCAGTGATTAACTCAATATAAACATAATATTACAAGCTTATTATATATTTACATAAAAATACAATTTCAATTATTTATCAACGTAAAATTTTATGTATATGGGTTTTTATATATGTTGCAGTTGTTTGAAAAAGTCAAAGAACAAAGAGGAATCGATGCCTTAAGGAAACAGGTCACAATAGTAAATGGAGATGTGTCTCAATTAGGTTTGGGTCTTTCTTCGGAAGATAGGAAAATGTTGTGTGAAAGAATAAGTATTGTTTACCATGGAGCTGCTACAGTCAGGTTTGTTGTTTTTATATTTAAAAAAGAAAATTATTACATGAGCTATTTAAAAATAAGCAAAATTATATTGTGATATTTGAACAAGATTCATTGAGCATTCAACCCTTTTCCAGGTTGGAAAAATTGGGTTATGGTCTAGACAATCTATATATCATTTAAGTTGTTTAAGGCATGTCTGAATTCAAATTTTCCATTAAAGTTGTAAAATTGATTTGTTTAAACGATTTATTTAAATAAATAGTTGAAAATTTTTATATTTTGAAGAATTAATTCTAGAATCGGATTTGAGGAAACTAAATATATTTGATATAGTAGTTTTAATAGTTAAAATAGATGTTATTAATAAATTATGATTAACTAATTTTTCGATATAAATAATCCTTTAAAAATATAACTAAAAATGCTACATGTATTGACTAAGAGGTTATTCGATGCACAGAATGCAAATTGATTTTGCAAAATTAACTTATTTAAAGAATTTTTTGTTAAAGAAATGCCGGAATCGAGTACTATAAAAGAAAAATATGCCTGGAATAATGGATTTATATGTTCAAATATACTTTGTTGTATATAAATTCTTAATTATATTTGCACATACTATAAAATATAACGACTTTCGATAAAAAAAAAAAAAAAATAAAAAGTGACAAAAATAAAGAAAAGAGCACTTTAAAGTTCAAACTTTGATTATTACACAGTGTAGTGTGTAAGTGAGCAAACGTATTGTTTAAAGAAATGAAGTATGACACTGACTTTTGCAATAGTTCATTTAAACAAATTAATCTTACAAAGCTTGAACATTTGAATACCGCTATACTTCAAATTCCTGAAATCATATATAGTTTAACTGTACCGTGGTGCAATTTTTTAATCTGGAAATGAGTTAAAAACGAATATTGCTTAGTTATTAATTTATAATACAGGTCTATTTACGAATGAAATAATTATTTACCATCTATAAATTAATAACATAACATTTGTAGTGTTTTTGCCGACTTTAAAAAGGAGGAGGTTCTTTATTTGACCTGATCATTTTTATGAATGTTCGTGTATATTTGTGGAATGGTTCAACCGATTTCCATGGCGGTGAGCTTATTTGAAAGTGTATGTTCCTGAGATGATCTTGTTTCATTACTAACTTGATTGAAGCATAACATTGCAAACAAATTTAAAGTCGATTTTTCAAATTAGTCGTGTAATGTACGCCATCAAATTTTGTTCAAGAATAAAAAAAATGTTCACTGGAAAACTAAAAAATTAATTTTAGTTAATATTATTAAAAATCTGATATCAAAACATATGATATTAACATTAACGATCTAATTTTTTCCAGCAAAATAAGCTATTTTTTGTTAATCGATTAACGTACGTTAGTTTTTTAAAAGATTTGCTTATGTGCAACTGTGATTCTTAAAAATTTAGAAAACTTTTGCAACGTTTCAATGTTTTGATGAAACTATTAGTATCAAGAAGCTGTGTATCCACAAAAAATGTGCACAAGACTTACATGTCAACATATTTCGTCAAAAGAAATGTAAAATAATTAAAACATACATATTTCTTATGCTCGTAATGAATATAAATTGGAATATTTCGTTTGTTATAAACTGGCTTTGTCGATTCGAAATGTGGACATAAAGTATTCTCAGCTGTATTGCGTAAATTAATGTTGAATGAATTGCCATCTTTACCAGTAACTTAATTTAAATCATAAATTAATTTTGTAGATTCGACGAGTTATTAAAACGGGCAGTTGTATTAAATACACGAGGAACAAAACAGATGTTAGAACTGGCAAAAGAAATGAAAAAACTCGAACTTTTTGCACACATAAGCACGGCGTATTGCCATCTTGAAGAAAAGGTAAATCATCGTTTTGATGTAGATATTTAATATTTTTCCATTACATTTTCTTCTTTGATTACTCATTTATTCATACACCAATATTGTTATTTATCCTCCATTCTTTCTTATAATTTGATCAATAAATTAATGTTGATAAATTTTCGATTTCCTGTTTTCCAAAGTACTATATGTATATATATCTCGTTTTATAAAATTGTCCTTGATCGATAACGTGACAGAAAGTACATGCTGGTTTACATTTAACTATTTATGTGATCAGGTACTCGGAGAAAAACCATATCCACCACCATCGGATCCGCATAAAATCATAAAATGCGTCGAATGGATGGAGGACGAAGTTGTAGAAGCTATGACAGACAAAATACTTGGTGATCTACCGAACACATACGCTTTTACAAAAGCTCTTTCTGAAGGACTCGTGGAGGAAGCGATGTCCGAAATTCCTGCTATTATTTTAAGGTATGATTCGCATTTCATTCAGCGTCACTTCGTTTACGTAACGTCACCGTTAATGAAAAAGCAATCTGTTTTCTTTCTTGCGTTACACTGAATTTTTCGAGTAAAAAGAATGTTATAAAAATCAATCGACTGTTTCAGTACGCGTTGCAATTGATAAATATACTGGCAAATATGAATTTGAAAAAAAATTGCATGTATTGGTATAGCGTGCCATTTTGTGCAGTAATGAGTACTAAGAATTCGTCGCGTAGGCAGTTGTAGAAAAGTACGAGAAACCTCAAGTTTACGCGTAATTATAAAGGCCTACATTCAACCTTTTTCTTAGTCAATGTGACTTTTTAATTTTACTTATCGTAAATCAGTGACGAAAATGCAGAAGCAGGGTTATTTATAGAGTAAAAAATAAGACTAATAAAAACCGATACGGGTATTCTTAGCTTCAGTCGCTTCGAATTTACGGATACTGTTAGTAAAAGACATAAAAATGATGTAATGCTACTGCAAGGAGAAACTAATAACAGAAAACATGAAAATTCCAGGCCAAGTATCGTAATTCCAATCTGGAAAGAGCCAGTGCCTGGATGGACGGATAACATAAACGGACCGACTGGATTGCTGATTGGCGCGGGCAAAGGTGTGATCCGATCGATGTACTGTAACGAGAACGGCTACGCGGATTACGTACCGGTTGACATCGTGGTGAACGCCATCCTGGCCATCACCTGGAACTACATTCACAACAAGGACCACGAGAAGCGAGTTTACAACCTAACCAGCAGCAGTGAATTCAAGGTCTTGTGATGATAGCCACCTCAGCTCTCGAGTCGGAATAAGTCAGCGAAACGCGTAACATTTGCGTTCGTCTACTTTTGCAGGTCTCGTGGGCTGAGATTATTGATATAGGTCGTCGAGTCACGGAGAAAGTGCCGCTCAACGGGGTCGTCTGGTATCCCGGCGGCAGCATGAAGAAATCCCGACTCGTGCACAACATCTGCGTCTTCTTGTTCCATTGGATACCCGCTTACTTCATCGACACCCTCATCTTCTGCTTGGGATACCCACCCATGTTAGTTTCTTCCTCATTTATATTCACGCTGCGTCGTGTGAAAGACATTCCATATATATTTGATTTCTTGCTGGCAAATGCATTTCGCTTGCGTAACGGTCGTCGCGACTTTGGCTAACTTTTTACGATAGAAGAGGTGTTTATTTCGAAATAATTATCTTGTTTATTAAAAGGCACGCGAAATATATGCCTTTTAGTGCGCATTAGATTTTATTGACGAGAAACAATTGTGCAATTGTAGAATGTGTCGAGTACATCGTCGCATCCAAAAAGGATTCGAAGTGTTCGAATATTATGCTAACAATCAGTGGGACTTTGAGAATTCAAATATCACAGAAGTCAGAACACTATTGAATTCGAGAGAAAAGATTGCCTATCAACTGCACGGAGACGACATGGACATGGACGAATATTTTGAAAATTGCATAAGAGCTGCGAGAATATTTATTTTGAACGAACCACCAGAAACTTTGCCGGCTGCTCGTCGTCATATGAGAATGTAAGTTCATTGTTCGTTACCTTTCTTATGTTATACTAAATTTGATCATTATTTCAGAATGTACTGGGTAGACATTTTCACGAAAATAATGTTCTTTGGACTTTTGATATATATGCTGGCTTGTTGGAGTGAAAGCTTCCGAGCGTTACTGGACGGTGGACTGCAGCTCATCAACCGGGCATTATCATAGTTTGTACCTTAATTTAATTTTTTTGTTTATTGTTTAGTACCTTCATACTGTAAATTTACCAAATAAATAGTTAAGGCGACTAAGGTAACTTTTGACAGAAAATCGTCTAAATATTTCGCCGTCATATTCTCAGTTGTATGTGTATGTAAATGCAACTGACGTTAATACCTCAAGAAAAGTTATAAGGAAAGGAACAAAAAAAATTTATGTTGAGAATGTTTACAAATAGTTTCGTGCCACATATATGGCAAAACATCGTACATTGTATATTAGTATAATTTTTGTAAATTTAAAGAAGTTGATGATAATTATTATTATGTATAAAATATGGATGGAATAAAATAAATTAAAAATGCATCACTTTTTTGCACTATAAAGTGACTTTTATTTTTTAAAAGATGTTATGAACATTACCCGTCTAAACGGATTCTTGAACAGGTGGTTCATAGCCTTCAGGCCTGTCCACCTTTGATCCAGTCTCTCCAACTTCTCCGCTTTTGCTACTTCCACCATCTCCGTGAAGCTCAAGAAGCTTGCTCAATTCGAAACGCGGCTTCTTCAATACTTTGACCTGCAAAGGAAAATATTGAATTAACTAGCTATATTTTAGAACTTAAAAATAATAAATACAATTTATGTTAAATGTAGAAAATTATCATTATAAAATTGAACGATCACTGCAGTTTATTATCATATAATTAAAAAAATGGTTCAAAATTGTAAAAACCTACTTTACGAATAAAAACATCGTGCAGTGGGTAGATACCCTGACAGGCCTTTTCAATGTCCTTGGCGATCGCATCAGGCAACAATTTGCTAACAACACCCTTCAAATCACTCTTCATAACTTCATCGGTGATGATTTCCACCATCTTCCTGCGAATGGCTCGTACCTAATACATTAAAAGCAATCAAGTTAATTCAATTTCTGTTAAACTAGACTTTAATTACAAAGTGTAAAGAAAGATTATGAGTAAAAAAAGTCTGATTTGAATGGAATCATAAAATTTTCAGCTAATTATTTTTCAAACAAAGAATTGTAAAATGACAAACCTGAGAATGTTGTGCATAACAAGTTTTTCTTGAGCTCTGTTGGTCTTTGTTGGTAAAACCAATGCAGAATACCCTCAAGCTATAGCCATCAGTAGTTTTGACATCAACTACAGCTTCAATCAGGGTTTGCCATTTCTTGACCATAGACCTTAGTTTGTCAGTAGTCAAGTCCATACCATGGAAATTTGTAAGAACGTTGCGTCCTTGGACATCTTCAGCAATAAGTCTGAATTTACGGAATGACCTTTCCGCATCATGGTCACTCTGAAGGTCAGCAAGAGACACTTCAAACACACGATGCTTCAGACCCTCAGAAGCAATTTCTGAAAAGAAAAGTAGTAACTTTATAATGCATTTGTATATATAGATACAAAAATATGCCAAACATAGTGCGTCATTAGTTATTACTCAATTCAAGTTTAATTTTTGTAAATAAATCTGTCAGTTTTGTTCATAACTTTATTTTATTGGAATAAAATAAAATTAAATAAGAAAACTTATTATTATAGCAACTTTGAAACGCCATAACAATAAAAGCTACATTGTCGTGGAGCTGGAGTTGCTATTCTCATAATTTAAGACAAGATTGATACTACTGTATGAAAAATGAAGGTGATAAAATATTACTATAAAATTAGAAATTAAATAACAACAATAAACTCACTTGTTCCTTGGGTTCTGTTGACCAGAGTTTTTCCAACCTGACGGACAGTGAAAACTGATGGGGCCTTAACATCGTACCAATCTTTCCGTGTGAACGGGTCAACACTGTGGCATATAACAATAATTATCGATTAAAATATAAATTAACATGCAGATTCTCAGTTTGATTAATTAGTAAGTAGATATTTAACTAACATAAACTTTTATAATTAAAGTGTTGCAATTCTCAATATCAATGCTTGTAATACGTAAACCAAGCAATGTGGTAAGTGACTGCATTTTGATCTTCGCAAGTAGAGTGACAAAACAACTGAAGATCATTGTTTCGTCGTCATCTTGCGATGTTAGTATAATCCAATTTGTAGGTTAATGATGTGTATATGCAATTAAAATTCGTTTGTCAGAGAAACAAATCAGCAACATATAAAATACATAAAATAAAAAAAATAAAATTTACTTTACAAAATTTTATGAGAAATTTAGTTAAGAGTAAATGTTTGAAAACGAAGCATGGACAGTGTAGCACAGTGTCTGTCATCCGTTAAAATCAAATACATCCGTAACAATTATCTATCGGCAAATAGAAAATTAATTAAAACAAATGTCGAAAAACAATTTAATAACAATATAAATTACTCACATCTTCTTTTTAACTCCTTTCTTGCCTCCTTTTGAAAGCCCCTTATTTTTACCTACCGCCATGATTGAGGCTAGAAAATGGAAAGAAGCACAACCAACATACGGAACAACATGGACTGAAGATGGCTCTGCAGTTAAGTCTTCGATTTCTCGAAGTGCCACACCAATGCGATAAAAATGAATGAACAATACCTTTTCAAATAAATTTTAGTAGTTATACATTAATAATACGCATTATTCAATATCTTTATCAATTCAAATGAATGTAATTCCATGTCTACATTTTATTCAAGAATAATTATTCAAGTTATATTTTTAAGTTCAATTGTTAGATATTTTCATGATATTTATTATAAATTTTGATGTAACATATATGTAGATAATATATTTACGTCAAAACTTAGTAGTCTTTAACATTTTTTGTAAATAAATTATTATTTTATCGTTTTTAGATAAACGCATATTTTATTTAAAAATAATGCAAAGTTATTTTACTAGATGGCAGTGGGGACTGCATTGCGCATGTGTGAACCGGAATATAGGTGAAGTACGCATATAGCTATATTTACTTGCAATCACATAGATTCATCTGGTATACGCTGTGAGATCAGTGCAATTCAGAAGGCATTTTAGATTCAGATTTGCTTAAAAGAAAAGGAAAACAGATCTGTCAAGATTTTGCCGTATTTGATTAGAGTGCAAAATTGGATAAATGACGATTAACAGTGCGTGTTACAGGACATAGTTTTACGATGTCAGAATATCATAATGAATATTGATGCTTACCAGCAGCAAGAAGACGAATAACGTCGCGGATGAGTTGGTGTGTAGCTCGTCTCGACGTGTTTTTTATTGCACGCCAAAAAAGAACTCAACGACAACGATCACACAGAAAAGTTGACCAGTTCAGTGTGTAAAGGAGAAATCCTTCATAACAGGCCTAAACGCATTTGCGAAATAACAGCTGACCTCTTTGGCTTGGATTCAAAATAACAGCCAGCCACCATGAATTTGCAAACGCTCTTTCAAGATTTTAACCCAAGGTACAACTTATTTACATTGCTTTTAACTTGGGCAATTAAGATGTATTAACTTGGAAAAGCTCACTCTACTTTTCAACGTTCCATATTGTCATTGTTTTGAAAACATTTTTGAAAATGTTTTGATTATATTTTTTTTTTTTCATTTCTTGTGCTTATTGTAATATTTTCTTACCATGTAAGTTTATATTGATGTATATAATCAAATTATTAAAAACATCAAAATTATAAACATCAAAATTATCTGTTAATAGATTCAATATAATTATTAAATTCTAATTCGACTTTAATATAATTATTTGTATTGATATTTTTTCAATTATTTAAAAAATTTCCTGCCTTGTCCTTTTAAAATAAAATTTCACCCTGATTTAAGTATCATACAAATGAATGGTTACATGTAAAGACTGTCCTTTCTTATGAATAAATGGCTTAATTATATAAAATTCTATTTTTAGAAAAAGCCATTTCATTTTGAAAATAGTAGTAATATGTTCAATTTTTCCAAAAATGATTTGTAAAATCTTTTAATAGAAAAAAATCTGTTCTAATTATAGATAAGTAGTTTTTTTATTGGATATTGTTTGATTGTATAAACCTATGTTTTGTTTCTGTTTTCAGCAAATTTCTTGTGCACTCTTGTCTCATGATCTTCACTGCTTTATTTGCACTGAGACTTGATGGATTTATCGAGTGGAATTATTGGGCTATATTTAGTCCAATATGGTTTTGGAAAAGTACTGTTATTTTGGGAGCATCAGTTGGAAGTTATATATGGTGGAGACATCCTCATTCTAGGCTAGAAGGAGATGCATATGTTCATTACAAAGCAATGCTTATAACCTTGGCATTGCATTTAATTTTGTTAATGTTTGAACTATTGGTTTGTGATAAATTAGAATCTGAAAGACATTTGTGGATACTTGTTTTTATACCTTTGATTTTTATCTCTATTGTATCAATAGCTGTAAGTGTATTTTATGATATTTTTACTGAAATAAAATTTTGATGCTTTTAAATAATTTTATGTTAATTTGACAAATTTTGTTTTAGGTTTGTATATGGGCTGTCAAGCATGATCGATCTTTCGAATTAGAATTATTTTGTGCTGTCAATGTATTGCAGTTTATTTTTCTTGCTCTCAGATTAGATGGGTTTGTCACATGGAGCTGGGAAGTAGTATTCGTTCCTCTCTGGGCACTTTTGTGTCTGTCTCTTGTAGCAGTTTTATATGCCATTGTATTTGCTGCTGTTTTATTAAGAACACCACAAATAAATGCAAGGCAAAGAAGAACTTCATTAAACTCTGCATTAGCATATACGTTTCTAGTTGTTCCAATTTTAGTATTTCAAGTAAGTTTTAAATAAAGTGTCATTTTTTATTTAAAAAAAACCATAAAAAATAGAAAGAAACAATTCCACTTAACTTTTAGGTACTATTAGCTAATAAACTAGATGGGGATATTTCTCTCAACTATACAACTGTAGCAGCTCCATTGCTATTATCTCATGTTACACTTATATTTATGTCTTTTGGAGCCAAAGGAGGAAATAAATGTAAGTGACTATAATATAGAATAAAAAATGAAAATATAAAGCATTATCAACGTTACTGCTTTTTTTTTTAATTTAGATGTATATAAATAATAATTTGACGTTTTCAGGGTGGTTTGGTATCAGGAAAGATTTTTGTCATTTTCTGTTGGGCCTGTGTCCTTTGCTGCAAGAATATGGTAATATTTCTTATCAACCTAGAAGTGCTGAAGACCAACCAGCTGAGCCAATTGTTACTGAGAAAAATGAAAAGAATATCAAGAAAGTTGATTTGTCAAAACCTGTCGAACCTATTATCTCAATAGATATGCCTGATTGATTCCGCCCTTATTTATGAGGGTAATTGTTCATCTTAACGAATTTTTTGCGTAGTAATTAGTAAAAATTACTTTTGGGTCTAACTAAAGCTATTCATAGTTAAAAAAAACTGGCTAAAGAAAGTAGCAACTAAACTTATAAAATTATAATAATATTGAATTTATAATATTTTTAAAGGTTTTTGTATAAAGTAATATGTACAATTATGTAGTTGGAAAAGCTTTTCTTGATCACACTCAAAAAAAAGCATAAACTTCAATGACAAAAATTTTATTAAATATTATTTAGTGGATTTGAAAAGTTTATAGCAGAATAAAAGGCCAAACATATTACTGTAAAACGGTATAAATATTAGAAAGAAAATGTTTGCAAAGTACATTTGATAAAATACTTAAGTTCCTGATGCAAAGTTGAGGGTTACTAAAATATTTTGAATGAGAAAATATTTATGTTAATATTTATTTATAATGAAATTAATTTATTTTAGTTTTTCTACGTTATACAATTCAAATGACTTTAACATCTTTAAAATCAAATCAATATTTTATGAATTGATATTATTAGCGTTGCCACGGGACAGTTGATTTGCTTATGTTATTTAATAATAGTATCGCCCACGCTATACATTTTTTTCGATGCTTCGTGTGCAAAGTACGACTTTACCGTATGTTCATACGAAGATGTGCGCTCAAAATCGAACTTTGCACACGTCGTATCAAAAAATTCCGTACGATGCGTGTTCGAGAAAGAGATTCTCCTCTCGTGTGCTTTCTTCCTCGCTTTGCTTGGGCGTAAACGCTACACAAGACAAAAATTCATTTTCTTGTAGTTGTGTCGTAATGTATTATGACAGCTTCTACAACTACTTGTGTATTTGTTTCGAATAGTAAATTGATAAGCAAATGAGCTTCTTAGAAAACTAGAAACAACTTAGATAATTTGGCGTTAAATAGTGTTCTGAAACAATATTTAAAAGCCTAATCAGCAGCTTCCAATTACCGTAAAGACTTTCGTAAATTTCACATGTTTCAATTTACAGTTTTTATTGAATCTTATATGACGTACATAAAAAAATAATCTTGACGCGTTGTATGCTTGGATTCAAATTACTATGATATTACGTATACTTTGGACCATGATTGTTAATCATGGTCTTTTTCTGCGACTGTGCCATGAAAATTTTGTAACAACGCGTATGATCTGGTAAAGCTACGAAATATATATTTTGCAATATTAGCCTTAAATATGGAAGAGTGACAACAGTACTAACCATCTCAATACAAGACTGAACGCTTCGCGTCAATATTGTAGTATTGTATACTATTGCAAAAAAAAAGATAGAGACACAAAATAAGAGAAACTAAATTTTAGAAATGAGTAGACTATATATATATATATCGGCTTAACTGTTGACATTTACTGAAATTCATAGTCCACTTGTTTACAAAGGTGTAAATTACGTAGCATGATGTTGTACATACTTGATTTTAATGTAATAGTTAATTACTGCGATAATGATTGTACATTATTATACATATCTGCATAGAATATGATGTTTGATAAACAACAATAATTAACCAGCAACAATTTATTTTATATAAACAAGTACACGATACATGTTCAAAGAAGCGATGATGTAATCTGATAATAAAATTTATATTTTTTCATATGATATTAAGTATATTACGCTGATACTTTATCCAAAGCATCTCGGAGTATCGTTTAAGAAAGGAAGTTGTCGGGTAATTGTCATAACTTTTTTCTTTAGATCCTTTCGAACCAGTATTTATTAGTAGTATCGCCAACAAAATCGTACCAACGTTTCGGTAACGTTATTTATTATGATTTTAACGCCACAAAGTTAATCGAATATTACATTCCCACAAAAAAATTTAAAGTGTTTTTAAAATTTGAATTCAATTTATATGAAGGATTTTTGAAATTTGGAAAATTTAAAACATTCTTTCTGTACAAATACTTTTTCGTTTCAAAATAATATATGATGTAAAAAATACTTTTCTAAAAATTATTATAGAAATATGTAAGTATACTTGACCGTATTCCCTCTCAGAACTTAATGAGTGAGAACTTATTCGATTTTGATATAATGAAGAGTGCAGAAAACGATTTATGTGATACTTACGAGAATATCTTCTAAAATTTTAAATAATTTGATTTTGTCATTTTATCAATTTTGATTTTGTCATTTTATCAATTTTGATTTTATAATTTTTATTTGTGTTGCTTGTAAATTTTATAATGTTTTATCATGAAAACTTAAAATATTTCACTTTATTTTGAATTTTAAAAAGAATCGTCTCTAACGTTTTACAATTAATAATTATGTATTAAAACGTTTAATAATATTGAAACGTGTTAATAATTATGTATTAAAAAACCATGTTTGAAAAATATTGCATAAAATTTTTTTTCATTTTACTGTGGATGTCTCATATTTAGGCGTGCACAATTATTATCGGCATGCCCATATTTATAGTAAAATATCCTGTAAATTTGAAATCATCTAGAGCAGTTCTCGAAAAAGTTTATTGTTACGATAACAGCATTAAATGTAATTTAATCGATTTGAAATTTGGTAAAGCTTGATAACTCAGACTAGATATCATCAAATTATCACGTGCTCAATTATAAAACTGCTGAATTATTTATCACAGTATTTATATTGAAAATTGCCATTTAGTATACACAAAAAATAATTGGAAAAGAATGTAATAGAAAAAGGAAAACTGCTTGTTGTATTGTCAAAGCCATTATTTTACTAAAAAAAGTCATTCGTGGCATATCTAAAAAGACTTCATTCCATAAGGAAGTATAATACGACGAAAACTAGATTCAAATTACAAAATCAATTGAAAGTTTTTGCATGAACACATGTTTATACTGACGAATTATTGTATTACCATCATTGCAAAAGAAATTTTACGACTTGCATATATAATACTTTATTCTTAAGTTTTACAAATATTTTTAATGATGAATATGCATTTCTACATAGAAGCGAAGAATAAAGTCGAGTAAATGCATCGATGATTTTCTAATAACTTATGAACACAAATAATAAGTACATCATACCTTTTATAAGTATTTAATAATTATTTGCGTTGCCGATAAACATATTATTGCATCGAAACTTGATTCAGTAAATAATTACGATTAAAACTGTGACACTTATAACAAGTCTTAAGTTTACCAGTAAGGAACATAATTAGGTTCCCAAGATTTACCTAAAAGCTCCGAAACTTTAGTCGAAACTATGGCTATATCATATTCTGAATCTTCGATTAAAGACGTATCTGATATGCACAATACTTGCAGCCGTTCGCAGCATATGCTGACGAACTTTATGAATCCGGAGCATCTGAAAATGTTTAATAAACGATCATCGCAATGTTACCGTGTGCGTTTTTAAAAACTTGTTCTAAAAATCTAAATTATAGTAAAGTTATTATAATCAACTGGAAAATAGCAATAAAAAAGAATAATTACGTGAGTTCACAATCGCCCAGTCCAACGGCAGCAAGTTTAGGGCAACCTCTAGCAGCAGTGAAGAGAGTTTCGTCCATTGTCTCTGGGCCATAGGCACCGACAACTAATTCTATGAGTCGTGGACATCGCTCGCCTACAGTGGCTATAACTGATGAAGGAGCGTTTTCGCCAAAGTACAGATGCGTCAGTGGAACATGAGGAGCCAGCAGGCTCTCGTAATCCGTTGCTTCCGTCAGGTACGATAATCTTTAAGATACCATTTTCGATTACTCGTTATACTTGCTAATTATGGTACGATCTTTTCCATAGTTAAACAACTGATTTACAAGTGAAACAGGATTAATTAATACCAATAAACGGTACGTATTGTTGTTTTATATGCGATTGCGTAATTTATTTTTTAATCTTCAGCTAATTCCTTGCGCGGATAAAGGAGACCGCAGTACTAGATTCAAACCGATAAGAATCGCCTAAATAATGTATGAAAATATTGAATAAACGTCAAGACAGACTCACAAAACAAAGTTGAGGTCTGGCAAGTGGTTGGCAAAATTGGACCACGTCTCGGAGCTGACGTTCACGGTTGGTTTCGCCTCAGGGTGAGCCTCGACTCGCATAGTTTCCAAGCGCAGCGTTTCGTCACTGCTAAGTGCCCTCAGAAGTTCGTCGCTCAGTAACGAGAATGACAGCGAAAGCTCGCGTATGCTCTCGCAACGGTTCATCAGCTTCAAGATACCTTCAAGCAAAACGCGCACGCATCGAGAGAGCTCCGACACTGCCTCTACTAACTACTGTTTATGAAACGTGTGATGTACTTTTAGCGGGATTTCCGTATTATTGATCGACAATTTGAAAAATCGAATCATTAAAAATGAGCTGAAAGTATGAGAAATTTCAAAGTGTACACGTGAAATCCGCTAATGAAATGCCCATGACAATGCGATACTAGGCCAACTATACGTTTTGCCGACAAGCGTGAGGTTTGCTTGTTGAACTGTGACAATCGCAGAGTTTTGGACTCATCGGGCGTTGAAATGGCCAAGAAAGGCTCGTCGAGGCAGAGCTCGGTGAATTGGTCGGACTCGGTACCTCCTCCGGTGTCCTCCTCCGTCACTGCGAGAGCGCTCGAGAAGCGATCGCTGTCGACGTCGAAAAATTTCGCTTGATTCTCGTTTATCAGAGCGACCATCTGCAAAATTTTTAGGTAAAAAGTTAACGGCAAGCTTGTGCGTGTAAAACTACTCTGCGATACTCTACGGCTGCTATCGAGGAAAAGAAATTTTCGCAAACTGATACTGTGGACGTTAGCGACGGAAGGGTCCAATGCTGCAAAGTATGGAAGTTTGGAGGTGAGAAAGAGTGCAAGGTGTCATCGGCGCGAGTTCACGTGAGCAACTAAGCGAAACGCGGCGAGAACGGGGAGTTGCAGTACACGGCAGGTAGAGAAAGGATTAAGCCAACGGATTTTTCTCTCTTTCGTTCTCTATAGATCTGCTCGCGGTCTCGTGCAGTTTGCACGTGACACGTGAGCTTGTCAGAGAACGCATACTTATACATGCCCCATAGATATATATGCGAGGTATGGGTCAAGTACGTTCTGCGCTCGCCTTTATGGAGCGGAACGATTTCGACACGGTTACCTTCGCTCGAAGGAACTTATTTAGCGCAATTGTTACGATTTCATGCCTTATATATTGATCCAACTGAATTATCTTAAGTTCTCATTGACATTTTCTTTCATTTTAAGATTTAAACTAGTTTGTACGATCAAATATAATATTATTCACGTTGACGGAGTATAAAAATTAATTACAATTTTTATTTAGATAAGGAGCAATTGAAGTACGTCGTGATGCCATCACAGCTCACCGTAATCAGTGTAAATAAATTGGTAGGTCATACGAAGCGAACAGAAGTGAACAAAAATATTGGACTTGGGTAGCTGTAATAGAAATCGTTACCGCGCTGATCAAAGACAAGCGATAAAACGGCGACGTGGCGCACGTGACGGTAGTTATTACTGAAGTTGTACTGCATAGCTGCAATGCAAACACGCTCGAAAGGAGTTGACAAAAACTGCTGGGCCCAGGCACTGATTTCGCATGCTTTTTGCGAGGCGCACGGAAAATGTATTGGAGGACTACATTCAGGAGTGCATTCAGCACTTTAGTACGAGTAATCGATGTAAAAGGGGAGTGGGAATGTCGACGCGTGTAGGGCTTGTGAGGCGCGTGCAACGTGAGGCACGTGAGTGCAGCTTCTAATTAATGACCAAGCAAAAATTATTTCTCTAGACTTCTTTGTTTCGCAATCAATCTTGCAGCGCAGCATTTCGACATTTTATTCTCGAAAAAGTTCATTCCAAATACTTTTGAAATCTGTGCGTTAAGAAATGATCAGAAGTGTAAGTCTCGACTATACCGCTAACGCGTTTGCACTCGAATTATAATCTGATTCGAAGCAGTGTACGAAAAACCCCCAACCGAAAACTAAAATTGGCTAGTGATTCACGAAGCTATATAAGCATTTCGAAAACAAAACTCACCCTGGCAATGTGTTTCGCTGACAGCGATCCAATCGTTTGCTCTACGGCGGATCGATTTTTGTAGAAGACGGACAATTAACGGATCGACATTTTAAATAAATGCTAGTGTTAATCATGAATCCCATTCGTCGAGTACTCGAACTTGTGATAATGATAATAATGATCCCTCTTCTTCTCAGTCTGTCAAGATCCTTTTTTAACGAGTCTTTATTAATTTGCCAAACATTTTCTGCATTAACATTTTCTGAAAAAAAAAAGAAAATAAGCAAAGCTATTATTTAGTTTATCTTTATGAACCAACGCCTGATAAAGTCGATGAGAGATTCTCAGTAATTCTTTGGCTAATCAAAATTTTTTAAAGTTAAATTTGGGGATTCTCACGTAGTATTCAATCGCAATAAAATTGCCAATTGAAAAATTCACACGGTGCACATATTTGCCATCGTACAAAAGCTTAATCGAGGAAATACATAGATCTCCGTGTATTCTTCGTCGAAATATTCTATACAGAGTTGTAAGAAGTGACATCGTGTATCGAGCACACACATGTACATATATCCGCGGCAGAGAACTTGACCCAGCTTTCAAGGCGGTGCACCGAGTCGTCAGATTGTCGAATGAAGAAAAGGAGAGCCAATCGCAATTACGCGCGCGGATCGCACCTGTGATGGGTCGGGAAACCAAATGTACGTAATAGCCGCGACGCGCGCCGCGCGCGGCGTCAATGAAGCCTATCGGGAGGGTTGACGGAGAAGCGAAGTAAGCACGTGCCGACCAGTCGCGTGCAGCCTGTGCGAGCGAGCCGAGTTACGCCACTTCGCGCCCGAGAGGAACATATATACCGCGCGCTACCTTTCCCTCGCGACCTATTATGTACATGTGCTATACGCATATACGCCAGAGCGTCATTTCATTACGTGCGCGCGCTGATGCCCGGCTAATTGGTCACCCTTGGATTATCTTGATCACGCGCATTTTGTATGGGTGCCACTGCTGCTCAAACTTTACGTTTCGTATAGTTTCGACACTACGAACATTTTGCGCTGAACAACATTCGAGTCTCGATCAATTGTTATTTTCGTTGGCAAATATTTTTGATATTCGAGTTGCCGCCAGTTTACAAAGCACTCAAAATTTTTAAAAAGTTGATATTGGCAGAAAACGTCAGAAAATCAAATACGAGGGAACGAATGTCCGTTGTGATTGATCGCTGAAGCGATTGCTTTGATATGACTGCACTGATTTCTTGCCGGGTAGAAGCACTCATCACTCGCTACGTTTTGCGAGCAAACTGCGAAAAGGCAATGCCAATACATATCGTGCAGGAGAAGGTGTACGAGGGACGAGCCTTGTTTTTGCTTTCAGAAGCTGCAGCAAACGAAAGTTCCCGAAGGTAAAATGAGGCAGGTATATCACTGGCGAAACCAATCAGCTTGCCAAACTGTGCAATCCTCGCACGACCGACGGCAAAACTTGCAGAAACAAGCGCGAGCAGTGATGCGTTCGATGCGCAAAAGAGCGAAAGATGCCTCCGCGCGCGCGCGCGAACGCAGTGCGATTGACACGCGACGTTTGCCAGCTGCGTGACTCGGAATCCGCTGACGAGCGCTCGAGCAGTCGGTTGCGCGCGCCTACGTCTGCCAATGTGCTTTGCGCGAACGCGGATATCGCAAAGCCTTTCGTCGCCTCTTGAACGATCACAGCTCTATTCTACGTAAGCGTGCACTCGAGCGAGCATGACCGCGCGAGCCACTTGTTTACCAAGTTGTCAACAATTGAAACTGGTTCTCTGAATTATTGCGCGTTTTACTAGGGCAACCAATCTCTGCAGTCACTCAAACTTTGCTAAGTTTCAGCTTAAAAAGACCGCTGTAGCTCTTTGTAAAGTAAACTTTCTAAATACATCGAAGCAACGAAAAAAGGCTACCTGCAACTTTTCGAGCAATATATCTATATTAATTATTATTCAATCGTAAAGATGCGATGAATACATTTTTTACATCAACGACATTTTTCATTAATGAATGCTTAGTTCTCCACTACAAATTCAACAGTACCAGGAGTCCAATCGTTTTTCAAATATTTAGTTTCTCAAATATTTGCGAATTAAGGTGTTATGTGGCCTTTGCAAAAAAATTAACATGTAGTCATGAAAATGATTACACACTGTGCCTTTCCTACTCGACGAGGTAGGGCTTTTTAGTTGATTTTGGTATGACATAGAACATCGAAGGTGACTTTTTCTTAAATCAAAAATTGGAGGTATCCTTTTGTGCCACTAGCCAATCATTATAATTATAATAAGATCATAAGATTTATACACATTAGGAAGCTTTATAAAAATTTTAATTATAAAGAACATATTACAACTTTACTTATGTTTTTTAGATTAGAAAATGTCCTTATATTAGTTAATCATCGGTAGTATGGAAGAGTTTTATCATTTTTCAATAATTTTACTTTACAAACAAGTTGCACAGCATTAAATTAATAATATGTGTTCGGAGCTTTTGATTTTTATGAAAACATTTTATTCTAAAGTTAAAGAACTGCGTTAGAATAATACATATGCACTATGATTTATTTTAATCCCTCAATTTAATTCCTTTCCAGTAATTAAATACACGAAATATTAATAGATTATATTATTGAAAATACATGTAATAGTATAAATTAATAATGTGTTGTAATAACTATGAATAAATTGACTATTGACTACATAAAAACTTATATATATTAACATGTTTTCTTATTTACTTATAAGTTTTAGTAACTCAGCTTGATAGAATTCTTTTTAAAGAATAAATTAATACCAAATTTTTGATGAGCCAATCACAATAGTACTTCCAATAATACCATCTGATGATTCGTCTAGCACAACAATGGAGTCATTGGAAACTGCCTTAAAGAAATCTCATTAGGGGAAGGGGAAGTCGTGGTTGAAACAGGCCTTTTCTCTGTATTTCGTGCGCGACGGTATGTGATTGGTTTTAATATCTATAATTTTCTAAAAAATCATTTGATATGGAAATCATTAATGTTAGCTCACAAATAAATAATACTTTTGGCTATCCCTTTACTCATATATTTTTTTACAAAGTATCTAAAATATTATAAATTTGTTACTAAGTGGAGGTTAAGGTGCTGTCGTTCAACGTGCAGTGTTTTTAAATTCATTGTTTTTCTGTTTCAGTTGCTTAACAAAACATAAGCAACATGTCGATTCGACCAGTGTACAGGCCCAAAATCACAAAAAAAAGAACAAAGAAGTTCATCAGACATCAAAGTGACCGATATGACAAGCTTAAGGTAAAGAAATTATTTTTCAAAAGCTAACCTCGGGCACCTAATTTATAAAGAGCTTATAGAGATGTTCAATCACAAGTACATCAATGGTATGAATAGTAAGTTACATGTTTTGACTTTGTTCTAGCGTAACTGGAGGAAGCCTAAGGGTATTGACAACAGAGTACGTAGGCGTTTCAAAGGCCAGTACTTGATGCCCAACATTGGTTATGGTAGCAACAAAAAGACCCGTCATATGCTTCCTACTGGATTCAGGAAAGTCCTTGTACACAATGTTAAGGTATGTATAATTATCTAAATAATTTAACACTTCACAAAAAGTTTATTTTATATATTATTAACTCATTACCAATTCTTTAACAAAAGTTTTTTAATAGAATTGCACAAGTGCACTGTTATAGTACATTCCAAATATTTTTATTAAAAACTTGTTAAAAAATCAAATTCAGCAAATAAAGGCTTATTTTCATATTATTTGAAACATTACAATAATTCTAAGAAATAAGTGTTATAAATTTAGATATTACAATTATTCATTGACACATTGTTATAATATTAGTTCTATAATTATAAAATACAACAAAAGAAAAATATGAAGCACATTCTATTCAAAATTTAATTTTCATAAGAAGCAGGAAAGAAATAGTTATTTGTATTATTGGCTTCTGATATATAATTAATAATAGTATCTAAAATATGTTTTCTTAAAAAAGATATTTTTTATTAATATAAAATGAAATCATATGTCTTTCCAGGAATTGGAAGTTCTTATGATGCAGAACCGTAAATTCTGTGCAGAAATTGCTCATGGTGTCAGCAGTAAGAAGCGCAAAACCATTGTTGAACGTGCCCAGCAACTGTCTGTTCGTGTGACAAATGCGAATGCACGCCTTCGTTCTGAGGAAAATGAATAAACTACAATTTTATAAAAATATATCTAATTTAAAAAAAATATGTGTGACTGGATTCTTTCAAATCCTATACCTTTATCTGTAATTTTTTCATTAATGTTATTTGTATTACACGAATTTTACCGTATTTACACAAAAATAATGATTATGTGAAATGAAAATTAAGTTATGTAATGTACAAATATTTGTTACAATTACAGTATTTATTATTTAAGAATTGTAGTTTGTAGTACACATACTATAGTTGTAAACTACTTGGGGGACATCTAGCTTAATGTTTTGGAACTACATATAACGCATACTGTATATACATATATATGTATGCCATGCAATAGTGTATGCGTAATTTGTAAGAATTGTAGGTTAAATATCGTGGCGCCCTAATCGTTTTGTTTTCAGTTATACTTGTATGTCGCAGGTAGATCTCAATAATCTCAATTTCTTAACCAATTTCCTTCCTTACACAATTAGAGTAATTAGAAAAATAAATTAACTTATTTTAAAAATGGGAGATCAGTCTGCACAAACGAAGTCCAATGAAAACACATCTTCAGGTACTTTTTCATCATTTAGCGTAAAATTTGTTTTCGAACTAAATCAATAACAATGTCATTTCAGAAGTGAATCAAGATGAGCTTATTCTTCAACAACAAAGGCGTATCGAAAAAGAGGTTACTATCACCTAATCAATTTAATTAAGAGTTTGTGCAAATTTTCTTTTAGGAAATATAAAAAATTATCAACAATCTCATATGAGCACAATCTATTGATTGAGATATGTATTTTATAAACAGTTTTATTATTCTTTTTGTTTAGATTAAAGAGACTACACCACTAGTTGGTGAAAAAGAATCTTTGAAAGCACTTGAAAGTGAATACACAGAAGATGAAGTGTATTTATCAAAAGCCAAAGCCTTGGCTCAGAAATACTCATATTTTAGAAGAACAAGGCCAGATGGAAATTGTTTCTTTCGGGCTTTTAGTTATGCTTATTTAGAAAAGCTCCTTAATAATAAAGAAGAATTTGTAAAGTTTCGAGAATTAGCACACAAAAGTAAAGAGGATTTAGTTGAGTTAGGATTTCCTCGCTTTACAGTTGAAGATTTTCATGATACAGTAAGTTTTAATAAAACTATTATAGCATTGATAAATCCATAATTTGATTTTATTTTATTCAGTTCATGGGAGTAATTGATAAAGTTGGGGAAGGTAAAGAAGAAAGTTATGCAGAACTTCATAGGCTTTTTAATGATCAAGGATACTCAGACTATGCCGTAGTTTACTTAAGACTAATAACTTCTGGACAACTTCAAAGAGAAGCTGAATTTTACCAACATTTTATTGAAGGTGATCGAACTGTCAAAGAATTTTGCCATCAGGTGTGTATTCAATGAAAGTAAATAAATATAATAAGTAAGACGTCAGATAGTCAAAAGAATTTTCTATATCTCATTTACAAAAAAATTATTTAGAATGTTATTAAATAAATTTTACTTCTCATATGTTAGGAAGTAGAACCCATGTATAAAGAGTCTGACCATATCCATATTATTGCTATGAGTACAGCTTTAAATACTGGAGTACGAGTAAGATATATGGATAGAGGTGCTGGGACTGAAGTAACAGCACATGATTTTCCAGAAGGATCAACTCCATCAGTTCATTTATTGTATCGGCCAGGTCACTACGACATTCTCTACCCTTGATAATTCATAATTAACTTAGAATTTTTCTGAAACCTATTTTATAACTAAAAACAAAATTAAAATATTCTTTTTTGTACTTCATTCACAATTCACAATAATAATATCGCTAAATAATAAACATATATAATTAAATCTGTATTTAGCGATAGATACAAAATTAATTTATTAATTCTTCAGAGAATTTTTCAATTTTATGTCAATTTGTTCGCAGATTTTAGTGCACAGTACATTTAAATTTTATAAGGTATAAAATATATTATGTACTTGCAGATACTTTTAGCAGTAAGAATCAGCATTATGTTATTTTATTTTTGAGCTGAATTGTAAACTATGAACAATTTACCGTTTTTAATTAAATATTTTCTGTAATAAGAATTTACAAGCTTTACTCATTATAAACCATTTATTATTTATTTATTATTTATATGATAAATATGTTGATATTAAAATTGAATAATTGAATAAAATAACGTATGCATGTCTGTAAATTAGATTATTTGTCGTTAATAGATAGCATTGGGACAAGTTATTTCAAAATTATCAATTTAAAAGACTATTAAATTTTATTTTATTTTTATTAAATTTTATTAAATTTTTATTAAATTTAAAAATTATTGAAAATTATTAATTTCAAATTGCTGCGCTGGTGTATTGATTGATTTTTTATTGTCCAGCAACATATAATAATAAATTGTAAATAAAATTCAGGCGTTCAAGCAATATTCTTAATAAATATGAGGGTTATGCAAGTTACATTTTGTATTTTGAAATAAAGTTATTTGTTTATTATAAGATTGTATATATATTTTCTGATTTTATATAGGATTTTCATTTCTTTTTCAGAAATTTATATATAGATTGACAGCATCTACTTTATCAAACGCAGTTTTATTGTCAAAGAATATACAACAAAGTTGACAATCATATATACATATGCATATATGTTTGTATATATGTATATATACGTACATATATATGTTTACCTTATAGTCATCATCGTCAGTCGATCATGAAACTTCAAAGATTTGATTGATAATATTAAAAAGTTTTAATCAAATCCTTTAAAAATAAATGTTGCTCGTATCTATAAAACAGATCTAATAGTGATCAAATTTTTTATTACTTTCTTTAAAGGTTTCAGAAATAAAAATTGTTCCTCCCAACTAATATAGAGGTTATGAAATATTTAATTAGGTTTTTTTATTGATTGATTCAATTGACATTTACAAAACTTGAACGCTCAATAATAAGTTTATTAAGTAAAGAACATTAAATATTTGTGATATGGCATCGGCTTCAAGTACCAGTGCTCGTAGTTTATTTGTAGAATCTAAAACGCGACTTGCAGATAGGGTGCAAGTAAATATTAACAATATAGCATCACTAACAAGACAAATTCAAAGAGGATCCAAAAGTAATGAAGTAAGTTTGATTTTTATAGAATTGATGTACTCAAACAAAATCATGCATTTTTCAAAAATTTAAGATCATTCAAACTGATTACAGATTTTGATGAATTCCGTTAGAAATTTTGTACAGCAAGATCAAGTTCTTCATAATGTAGAAGCAAATCTTAAAAAACTCTCATTAATTACAACTCATCTTGAATATCAACTTAATGCTATTGATCAAAGTTCAGCAAAATTAGAAGAAGTTACTGAACAAGTTCGAGCTATGCAGCGATAAAAATTTCTATCTATCTGTTGCAGTAGTTGTGAGATATTTTTGTGATAAATTGCATAAGATTAATCTATTTTTCAATGTAAAAGTATAATTTAAAAATTTTAAAAAAGGCTTTACATATAATTTTGGATCAATGTACATAAATATTTAATAGGTTGAGTATCATCGTACTTATGTATTGAATTAATGAATTATTTTATATAATTTAAAATTGTTCGATTACTAATATAAATACATTGTTGTATATACTTTAATAAAAAAGGTAACTATTTGATAATTTCATGATACTTAAAGCAATTATATCACCGTATTTTTATTAGTCTTCTACAGCACAGCATTCAGCATGGAAAATCAAGTAATTGACAGTGAAAATGTCTCTGGTTTCACTGCTTAATGAACAAAGCTCATTGTCTATTTAACTAGAATACACTATTTAGTAAATAGTTCACAATCTTGGATATAATTTACAAAAATGATATCGAAATCACATTCAGTTAGATTTTCAAACTAAAAAAGTCAGATATTATTTCAAGTTATATAGACATCTATCCTGGTATTTTTTTATTATTAAGACTATTATTTTATGATTAAGGTTGATCTGTAATGTTTATAAAAAAGAATTTGTACACTCGTTAATTATTGAAACTTTCAATTTATTATAAATAAATCCATTTTATTTATTTATTTATATAGTCATGAAAATTTTTATTCTCAAATAAATGTTATGATATAATAGAAGGGAACACAGAAACTATTGTTGAGAATACTTACAAATTATACAAATAATACTTTTATATTATTATAAGATCAATCAGTTTATTATCTGAAAAAAAAATTTATTAAATACTCTTTGGTATAGATCAAGAAGATTTTGAAATGTAAAATTTTAATAACTCAATGACAATATCTTAAAAATTGTGCGACAAAGCAAAGATTTGTAGACAAAAGTATGTTTACTTGATTATTTAATTCTATTCAAAATTCAATTTTTTTATTTTAAATTCTTTAACTTTTTCTCTCGATTATGTGACACAAAAGATTCAAATGAACCGACTAATTCTTCTGGTTGGATAGAAAAATAATATGAATATTTTTACAGATCATAGTGTTGAAACATTTGCATGATGATGTGTATGTGTACAATAATGGTGTGTGTGAAAGAGAGAGAGCCGCTCGCAGGTAAGACTTGTTTTTCGAATTGGAGTGACTTGTGGTCGGGTGAACGCTAGTGCTTAGACGGTACACTTACTACTGTGTTAAACTACACTGTATTAAATATTCATACAAACTATTTTAGTTTCTGTTCTACTCACGGCAAAACCTCAAAATCTTGTCTTTAGATTTAAATGTTTTAAGTGTACAAACGTGACATCACCAATAAGAAATACATTGTCACTGAATTTAAACGTTTAGAAGTGTTTAAAATTAGTGACAGTGTATTCCTTATGGGTGACGTTATATTAAACGTTTAAATTTAAACACATGGGTTTACCGGGACTACCTGCATTATCCTGCTAGAAATAAATATTTGACACAGTAAAAGGCAAGTAGGCTTTTGTAAACTTTCTAGCTTCTGAATTATTTGAATGAACCAATCTATGATTTTTCTCTATGTTGAACTTTTTCAATTTTTTTAATTATACAATTGCAAGTATTCAATTTATGTATTCTCTTCAATTCTTCGCAATTATATGTATATAACGATAATGAAAATTTAAGATCGTTAGATTTTTTAGTTAAGCTTTTTAATTATAAAATTTTATTAGAAACTTTTTTAAAAAGCTTGTATGCTGACTGATTTGTGAATCTAAAAGTATCACTAAGTCGCTCAAACTTGTCGAGCTTTTTGAGAAATATACAAAATAACGATCAAATAATGCAAAGAAATATAATATTCAAAATTAACATAAAGAATAACATAAAGTCAACAGCAATTGATCGGCATCTTTCAACACTTTGCTGATTAGTTTTCAACTTCCTGCAATCCTAAGAGATAACATTGTTTTTACTAAAGAATCGTTAAATAATTTACTGAATGAAATATTTGTTTTGTGCAAACTAAATTTTTATTTTCTAGTATAGTTAATCAGTATAACGATATAAAGATATTTCTGAATCGAAGTAATAAAATATTGATGTTGGTTATTACACTGTAATAAATTGCAAGTAATTTTTCCAGAAAGTTACTCGAAGAAAGATCGACTTTAAATTAATGTATTGCAAAAGTGCCCAAAATTGTTCATTAATCTATCCAATAATGAAACCAATTTACTGACACACCTTTTCAAGTGAGTTTAGCCCATCGAAAAATACATAAAAAAATTATGCTGAATACACAAAACCTCCTCCTGTTTTGTAGTTGGAAAAAAAGACCGCAGCTATCCCCAACCTTTTTACGAAAACAGTTTTGCAATTGTTGCAATAAAATGATCTGTATAAATTTAGTAAGATTGTTACTTCAAATCAAGTAGGCCTTTACATTGTTTCAGCCATACTTACGTTCAATTGGTTAGAAACAATTATTTTTCCTACTTAGATATACATGTCAAAAGAAAAAAGTATTTAAAAGTATTTGTATCATCTAAATATTGCTGATAAATTCATTATGATAAACTTTGTCGCGCTTCTTTTTTTCAATACCTCAAAATATTTTTTGCATTAATAATAGTACTTTTAGTCTTGTTTGACAATGTTTTTTTATATTATTATCGTCACAAATTTAATTCAAATTAAAAAATCAATTATCCATAGACATTACATATTTAATCATTATACTGATACGATTTTCGAAGGTGCAGGAATTGGAAGTTTCGGCATGTACTTCATTGTTACTATAATTCATGCCATTTTTTATTTTTAATCCGGAGCATTAATTGATAGAAGTTCAATAACCATATTAGAACCCTGATGGAATTTCAAATTAAAATGGTGAAAAATGTTTTGTCTATATTATTGTTTGCATTTGAAATTGCAAAAAAATAATAATAATGAAAAGGGTAAATGATATAAATTGAATCGAAATGCTTTTTAACGCAGCCCTCTTTCATATTTGGCAAAAGTCGGGTAGTGCGAATATTTTATTTGTAAATCTTGAGGAATTACTCCTCCGTCTGTTAAATATTTATAAGATACACATAAATACAATATACATATAATTCGCATAAATTTTTTTACTTAGGCGCAGTTTTACACTTTATTACAGAGTTAATATATAATCTTAGGAGTGACAAAATTATCACTATAACTCAATGAGGTCAACAATATTCAACAATTACTTATGAACGTACAAAATATGTTAACGACTGAGAACAATATCTTTATAAGTAATGCATTCACCGTATAATAGTATTTTGAAAATAATATCTTTTTTCAAATTTATAGCTCAAGACTGACATTAAATTAACAGGTCTATTATTTTTCAGTTATTGACTAGGTAACATATGTATGAAAAATATGATAAAACTAATAAACTGTAAGGAATCAGAATGACTTATTAATGTTCATGAAATTTAGATATTGATTAAAATCAAAGTCAATTAGTTCAAATATCATTTATAAATTTATTTGCAGATGACTTCGAATTCATGAGAATGAAGGTGGTTTAGTACTAACAGTTATGTAAATATGTAAATACGTAATATGACTAATACTATTTCTATATATAATTCGATATGTGTAAATACGCAGGGAATTAGACAGCAAATTGCAACTCTCATGATCAAAAGTGCATCTCATTTTTTTCGTTTATAGCGAAGCTTGTTCCTCGTTTTTAATACAAAATAATGAAATATAAATTGAAATGTGACTTTTGAAAAACTAAGTTTGATTGCATTACAGCACATTCTCGTTATAATTTTCGTATGTTAGTAGGCGTGCATGAAAATATTGCTATTCCATTAGGTCATATGGCGTTTTAATAATGTTCGTTTAATTGTATTGATTTGTAATTACATATTAAGATTTATATTATATTCTATATTTTTTATAAGTTTCAGAAATACTGCATACTACTTCTACACATTATCTTCTATCATAATTGTAACGTAAAAATAAATAAGCTAAAAAGATTGAGTTACATCAAAACTACTTTATTTCTATTTTTAGCACTTTATTTCTAGTTTTAGTTTTTAAGATTCCTATTTCACATCATTTTTATTAAATTTTTTAATAATCGAAGATAGAGTCTTCGTTTAATGACATACATTTCAGAAATCAATAAGGAACTTATTATTAATTATAGGCATGCTTAATTTTAGAATTACTTAAATTACATTAAATAATTTGTTTTTTTTTAATATCATTAATTAGAAAGTTGACAATACTGAACTTTAACATTGATTCTAAAATTATGCATGTATAGAATTATATATATAAAATTCTATACATGCATATATATACATATATAATTCTATACATGCATATATAACATTATTTTTTGTATTATTTTAAGTACATTTTATTTGGGATTAGTTTAGCAAATATTTCAACAGATTTAATTTTGAAAATCTAAATGTTATACTAGTTCGAAAATGTTAAACAATATATTTAGAATTATTCTTTGAGTTAATAAAAAAAAGTTTACACTATGTACGAAGGAAAGTAGACGTTTCTTCTACTAAGTCTAACGTAATATTTATCAAGTTGGCTTATACGACATTCTTTTTTAGACATCGTACTGTTTTTATGATTTCTTAAATTTATGTTTATTCCTGTGCATTTTTACCTTTAATGTGTTAGTATTTCACGTGAAAATATAGACTTTTCAATGTAACTTTTAGGCTTTGTGGACTGCTTTTAACAGCAAAGCTTACCATAAGTAATACTTATATCTTAATGATCGTACATTATTAAAATTTGTAGATAAATAATATTTAGATATCGTTTTCTCAAAGTACGATGAAAAATATAGCTCGAGAAAGACGAAACGTTAAAATGTTACAATCCTCTTTGATCTCCTGAGAGTGTGATGGATATTTTTATGAAATAATCTTGTGGAAATATTTGAAAGGAAATTGGATGACGGAGTTATACTTGTAGTAAAATGAGAATGAATGAATAATTAATTCCATGAGCTTTCGATAGCCGTCAACATCTTCAATTCATCTACAGCACAGAGCGTAATAATAATTACACGCTGCATATATATGTATTGTTTGTACAAGCATACCTGTCAATGATCAGTATAGCATCACTCAGCTATCAGCGAAGTTGGACCTCGCTGGAAGGCGATCGGTGCATGGCAAAAAATGTGCCTTGCCGTGCACACGACCGTTCTTCGCCTCGTCTCTCTCACGCAGCAGGTATATTAGATGTATTTGTAAGACTATCTTAGCCGGACATTACGCTGACATATCATATCACGTCCGGCCGATTACTATCTAGATCTAGACACTTATATATTTCCACGGTTTTGTGCATTGCAGGCGACAGCGCGAAATTATGCGCGTCAAGGCGCGCTCATAACGCTTGCTCGATCGCGTCGTTATTAAGTCATCGGATAGCACGCGCATTACGCGCAGCTATCGATTTATAATTTGACAGACCCCTCTAAATACATCAGATCTGTTTTTCTTTTCTCATTCAACTAATTGACAACGATCGGTAAAGTAGGCCAGTTATCGTCAAATCATACTTTCCAAAGTCAACTGAGTTTAATTGTAACTCGAAAATTAGATTATTATATTTCGAGGATTAACTTTTAATTCAATCTCATTACAAATAAATCAGTTAAAAATACTCTTATAAAAATGTTGATAACGTAACATATCATTTTTCTTTGTTGCATCTTCATACATAGCATTTCAACGTCAGTATTCGTATGTACATTGACGTGTAAAATAGAACATTTATATTGTTATCATTTTCTTTTGATATACTATATATTTTATATATTTATGCATTTATTTGTTGATTTATTTATATAACGCTTTGGATCGATAGCAAGTCAATTTTATGCATGTATCGATTGATTATCATATGTAGATTAACAAATAAATAGTGCCGTACGATATATATCTATTATAATACTGATGTCACTTAAATCATCCATTTTCTCAATCTCTCTGTATGACTAAATATATATGATTTATGCATCGATTCGGCATACTATTCATATATATTTATCTTCATTCCTTACTTTATAACAGTTCATTTTGTAAAATCTATCAGTGACTTTTGAAGCATAACTGTTTTAAAGAAATAATCGACACATTAAACTACGGATGTATAGAATTCACCTCGCACGAACAAAGTAGGCAAGTTTTATTTTACGTAAAAAATCAATGAGAAATAAGTGTCACTCGATAATCGACAACTCTCAGAGTATTCGAAAATTCATCACTGGCATACGATGTCTCCGTAATTTTCGAACGCGTTATTAATTTCTATCGGCGTCACAGAAATTTCATTGTTTCAACATTAACATCATTGAATCTTTTCATTGTAAAATTTAATGACTTCGTTATCAAAGAAGAATATATTTTCTTTGAAAAATTTCTATATAAAAAGAAAAGAAGAAAAAACCAATATTTAGTTCTTTGATCAATTACATTTCCACACATCGATACAAGAAGATCACATCAATGGCAATAAATTCGTTCAGAAAGAATAACATGATTGGCACATCAATTTGCAATAGAGTCGAAAAACTGTTGTACATGTGATACATTGAAAAAGTTTTCGAAGTTTGTAAATTGGAGCAATGTAGTTTTAATGGTATTTCGTTGTTGATGTGTTGTAGTCCCTGGATTAAAAAATTCATTGTAAAAATGCATTTGCTCCGATTTCCAACGCGATGACGTTGAGCGTTCGGTCCAAGTGCAAAAAGTTTTTGTCGGTAATATAACAACATTGCCCTCTTTTGCACAACAGTAAAAACGATAAAACTCTGCACGAATGTGAAATGGAAGATGAGCGTAGAGCCTCGGCGACGTTTGTTGGCCCTCTTTATCGTCGCAGGTGTCAAAGTCATCGAAAATATTTACTTTTTGGAGTGAAGCACCACCAGTGCGAAAAATAAGGATAGATTCGGCGAAGGGAACTGATAAGTTCGAGGAAATAGGAGAAAACTCTCGGGGAGCTTAGGATAAGTCTGGAATCGTGTCTGGTAAAGGGTAAGAGTTTATCGGTTTTGGCAAACTGCTGCTACCTGTAGGTGCGTGTATACGCGCATCTTTGTCGGCTCAGGCGGCGCTGATTACGCTCGGTGCGACGAATAAGTGGCTAACTATCAATAAGTGATGTCCAAGTGCTTGGGTCCGGTGCGCTCGACGCTGACTGCTGCTGGGTAGAGTGCAGACGCCGAGGCGGCGTCGATTCACGCGATGTGGACATTCTGCACTTGGTGCTGGTTCACTCCGGCCATAAAGTCCTCGCGCAGAATTGGGAGCACCGTCGCCCCGGCGGCTGCTCTCCTGAAACAGTAATTCGATGCGACACGCTCACTCTAATGAAATATCAACGCAGCTCGTCGCCAACTTTGCGCAGTGAAGCCCGATCCCTAGTCCTCCCTTTCCGCTTGCCAAGTACTTGCATTTTATGCACCAAACGTGCGCGTCTTTCCATGCGACTCTATGGGCTTTGCTCGCGCGATAATTCCACGAGTGGAGATTACTAAGGCTAACGCTCTTGGCTTGTAGGGCGTGGAAAATTTGTACTATTTCGAAATTTCGTTCACCGATTGCATCCTTTCACTGTCATTAACGAGACTTTAATAGCTTATGCAAATCAAACTACCGTTGATGCTAAATTTTCAATTAATTTCTCAACTACTCTTCAAGTAATAACAAAATTGGTGATGTAATAATCAACGCAACTGGGCAAATAGCTCAATAATTTAGTAATTTAAAATAAAAATTTAATATGTAAAATAAATGTTGTACTCGATTGCTATAAGCTAGTACGTGGTACTTCATTCGACGTTTCGTTGACCGGATTTATTAACCTCGTCAGAAACAATAGTTCAACAGTTTTAAAACCGTCCTGTCATCTCAAATGTCAAGTTAACAATCTCATTTTGAGATATGAAGACGGTTTTAAAATTATTGAACTATTGTTTCTAATAAGCTTCTAAAATGTGGTCAACGAAACGTCAAAATAAAATCAGCGTATTGGCCTATAGTGATCGAGTACAATATTTATTTTACACATAATTACAGACGGCGATGAGATCACGTTTGATGATTAAAAGTGTAATATATTACGTAGTCAAAAAATAAAATCTTGGTTTATAAATTTCGCATGATGATTTTTATTAAACAATCCTTTCGTAAGAAAAATAATTATTTGTCTTCCCGAGCGTGTACTTAAAGATTTATGGTTGTAAATAAGAGATATGGAGGCGAAGTGTATCTACATTGTGTTGCAGACAAGCGAAAGAAAGAGAGAGAAAGAGGGAGAGAGAGAGAGAGAGAGAGAGAGAGAGAGAGAGAGAGAGAGAGAGAGAGAGAGAGAGAGAGCGCGAGGCAAACCGCAAAGCGGGAAATGTACATAGATACACAGAGGCAAGCGCATCGGCTCGGAAGGCGCGTGGCCCCGCCGCGCCGCAAGAAAGATGACCTGCTGGGATATAATAAATACGAATTAGCAGTCGTGAGTAACTAACGCGATACCGTTACCGTACTCGCGGGGCTTATTTTTACGCGCGGGAGTCGGTTGTGCGATGCGCGCCTTCACCGCGCGTATATATACGTATATTTGTCTGCCTTCTCTGGACGCCATCGTATACGCTTAAACAAGGGCGCGCAGCTACCTCGTCCAGTTAATTATTGTGCTTTTTCGTTTTATTCGACAAAATAAGCAAGCCGCGGCTTAGCTGTTATTTATTACGCGCGAATCTGTTGAGTATTCGAATGATATATCTACGCGTGGAAGCATAAATTGGATCGATTTTCATCTCACGCCTAATTGGATGTGGTTTCCGCAGCTGCCGTTACGGGTATGAGGCAGAGGCTTTACCTCTCCGAGCTCGCAAGGAATCGTTTGCATGCTCATTGGCGACGCGGCAGCGCGCGCCGGAAACACAACGGCGCGGCCGACCACGCTGCTGCTCATTGTTGCCAAGTGTAACTCAACTTTGATAAACACACCTAATTTTCGGCTAATTGTCAGCATTTCCATGCCAAACTGCATTCTACTGTCGTACATATATGCCCTTGTAGTAACTGCTTCCACACTGCGGCTTAGCGAGATACAGTTGGTATGTACGTCTGTTATAAAACTTTCATGCCAGATTGCTGACCGCTCTACGTAAACTTTTTATTTATACATGTACGAAAATGTATTGTGGTATTGTAATCGGCAGCAATATTGTATTATAGTGGATGTAAACTGCTTAATTAGCAGTTAATATTATTTTTGGCGAACATAAACAAAAAGTATTTTATACTATAATGTAGGTCCAATCATCGATATCAAATTTATAGCCGAGAAAAAGTAATAAAGAAATATAGTTTTTTTTTTCATTCCGAATGAGTAGTGAAAGTCGTCATAATACTTTTTCAACGGAAACAAAACACTTTTTTACACTAGAATTTTTTTTGAAAGTAGAATAGTCCGTATATAGTCAGCCGTGCGTGGACGTACTCGTCCATCTTTCATCCGTGCGTATATGCACGATGTACTCTCTACTACAATGTTTACAGAAATTTTGCAATGTCTTGCTTTTCATTGCTTCTTTTTTTTCTCTAGTTTCTAACGCTCTTTTTATGTGTATGAATCGCTCATATATCCGTCAGAGAGCGTTGGAACTCTTTCATTCCGAACTGTTTTATACGTAGGAAGTAGAGAAAAAGTATATACGGGAGTTCGATCGCGCACGCATTCAAGTATTTTTTTTTATAGTCTCGCGATTATAAAGTTTCGAAAGGACCGGGCTTGTAAAACCCACGCGTGTTTGACGGAAGAGTCATAAAATATAGAAAGAGCCGGCGAAATTTTATTTCACCATTAATTCATACAGAAGCCACGCGATCGTCCACCCCACTGAATGCACCGACGCTCAAATGCGATTTTCTTTTACGATTCTATATGAAAGATTAATTACCAGCTGTAAAGTTTGAATGATTGAAGGCTCGTTGCGGCTTCACTGTTTTTATTGTCATCAATGAATTTTTCTTACTTCCGAAGAGAATTGTTCCGCTTTCGATCGATACTTTACCCGTTATTTCCGCTGAGTTATTCGTATTAGACCGAGTAACTTTGCGACGTATTTAAGGCTTCTTATGAATGAATGTATATTGAGTTTCATAAAGTATAGCAAGATAACTCTTATTAAAACTTTGTCTGAGCGCCAACATAATTGATTGTCAGTAACTATTTGAATAATCGTTTCTGCACTTTTACAGGTTATCCAATAATTTTAATAAACAATGTAGCCTGTAAATAAAATGCAAGTATCTATATCCTAAACCAATATCGCGAAACTTGGTTATAAAGTGTTTGAGCAATTAACGCGACGTAAATGTTTATAAAGTCTGCAAGTATTCGCAACTCGAACCGAATACTTTGGAAGATGCTATATATCCGAGCGGAATGCCGCGAGAGAAAGCGATGATCGTTTCGAAGGAAGGTCGGAGATTGGAGCGGTAGGCGAGCGGTGACACTTACTGCGCGTGAAGCAGTCCGTGGATAGCGGGCGCGAGGACCTGGTGTTGCGCGTGCGACTGAATAAGTGGCTGCCTCTGCGTTTGCAAGCTCTGGGCGAGCTGCTGCTGCAGCTGCTGCTGCTGACTAGCCGGACTGACTTGCTGGGCGCTGGGTTGCGCGGCTGCGCCGGCGGGCCCCGCGGGCAGCTGCTGGAGGGCAGCCTGGATTAGCGGCGAAGCGGCCACCGGCTGGTGCGGCACCGTCGTCGGACCGACGATCGACACGGCCGACTGCTGCAGCGGATCCTTGTTTTGCGCGGCGCGCGCTCGCGCAAGTAGCGACATTACCGTGCGCTTCGTTGGTGACATTGCTGGCCGCGCTCCTGGCAGCAGCGGTCGCTTGCGTCCTCCTGCTGAACAGCGATAACAACGTGTTACTTTTTTATCTGCTTCTTCGCCTTGTTCAATCCTCGTTTAATATTTGATACTTCGAGGGATCGTTTCATAACTATGATTATTAATGATTATTCGGTAAGCTTATAAATCATACACTATTGTTGCTGATAATTTTCGATTTAATTCAATTTATGGCATGCTGTTTCCATGTATTAATATCGACATTTCGCAGGTATATTTAAACTACATGGTTATGGATTCTATAACTGAAGTTTCAGTCTTTAAATTTTCATTGAATCCTCTGTGTGATTTACGAAACTTTGTTCGATTTCCATTTGATCAACAAACGAATTTGTTTGAAGTAGATAAGTAGATCAATACATTTATTAATTATTCAAATATATTTCGTCTTGGTTTATTATGAGTACGTCGTTGCCTAATGCGAAAAAAGAAGAAACAGAAAAAGTGTATTGCACAAGAACATATGATCACAGCAAATTGTTATCTGGATTCTTTAGTAGCCGTCGTCATTGCCCTTGACTATGAGGCGACGCGAACGAAATGTTGAAAGGAGTAATGTGGAAATCGAATTGAAGTAATATCTGAAAGTTACAGTACACAGGAGAAGCTGCAATTATAGAACGTAGTAGCTAAGCAACAACGGCGAGGAAGTAAAAAAGCACGCGAGAAGCCAGCGACCTAGTAAAATTTGCGCCCAAACAAATCTGCCACGTTCGCCGAGGAGGGATTGCGCGAGTTTTCTCTTTGGTATGGCACTCGAGCGCGTTGTTAGCCAATTAACAAAGTAGTGCAAGTTGCAAGTTGTGCGAGGGGCAGAAAAGCAGGCAGAGGAAAAAAAAGTGAGCGCCGCAAAAGTTTTCAAGCGAAGGCATGCGACACTCGAGGTAGGGGCTAAGTGGGTTCCACTCGTATGTTTAGCGAGTAGTGTGCGTGCGGCAAGGATAGTGGTGGTTGGCGAGGTACAAAGAGCCGTATAATTGGGAATGCCGACGGTATCCTCATCAGCGATGACACTTGCAATCAACTCCGCCGCGAATTGCTGGGCCGCGCCGCGTGCGGCACAGCTGCGCGCTCTGCACGTTGCGACGCGCGCGCGCGCGCGCTTGTACGTACACGACAACTATCCCCGACTCTGATCGATCACCGTCGAATCTGGTTAGCCCTCATCACGACCTCGTCAACGCGACTAACGCCGCGCACATCTGTCCGCCCCCTCGCGCTGCGGACGTGTGTTTATTCTTCGCGTTTGTTACACCCCACTCGAGCTCGCGCCGCGCGCCTTCTTACCTGCCCTGCGCTCTTCCCTATTTTCTCTCATAACAATAACATCCGCGTATCTCGTTTTCCGACCCATCCAACGGATAAACATTTCATTTTTTACGCGGTAATCGTTTCCGTTTTTGCGAAAATAGCGAAAGCTGTCGCTCGAGTGCTCCGTATAAACTGTCCGGTGGGCATGTGTGCGGATGCGTTTAGCGCGGCGAATAAATTGAATGGATCGAACGACGCGTCGGAAACTTGAATAATATTAGCTTTACTAATTGATATCCGCAAGCACCGAGCGTTCGCCGAGATCCCACTGCGATATTCCGAGTCAGCGAACGTGTAAAAATCGTGGAGGTGCCTTAAAAACTGCTTGCGCGAACAAGGAAAGAAAGACAAATAGCGAAGCGCTCGCTCGAATTGAAAAGTATAACGCAAGCGCCGGGCTCGCGAGAGGGGGAGATTATACAGTGGGTAGCGCCGGTGCAGATCTGGTACGTAATGCAAGTGACAAGTCTTACCGAGGCTGGATGTGACGGCGGGTAGAACGGTGGCGGGCTGACCCTTGAGGCAGGCCTGCGGATGGGGTGGCGAGGGTGTCGGCCTCGTGGCTCCTCCGTCCTCTTGGCCGTCTATGGAGTTGGCGGTGGTCGCTGCTGTCGGCGAGTTGGCCGCCTCGAGGCTCGAGGCCGGGCTCAGTGGCGCTTCCACCGCCTGCGCGCCCTCGCGGCTCTGCGTGTTCAGTATCTGCATCTCCCACATTTGCTCTTGGCGAATGTCGTCGTTGTAGTCCTGCGAGCACGCACGTGCAGCCTCGCGTTATGTGTATGCCTGGCCGTCATGGCGCCGCCGCGTCGCTGTTTGCTCGCGGAAATTGCCGGGGACACAGGCGCACTCGTCATTTCCCGACGCCCTCGGCGTGACGTACGTTGTCGCGTGTCTTTCCACTCGGCTTACGTCCCGGGCTTCGAGCGCCCTGTTTCGCTTGTTTTGGACCTTCAAAAATTCTCGAGAAAACTCGAGAAAAGTCGAGCATTCTCTAAAGCCAATGAAATTATCGATAAGTTCTGCTCTAGAGCTTTGCGACGACAGTGGCGATTATGCCAAGTCATTTGGAGGATTCGCTCAGCGCAGGTATGCGCACACAGCAAGACAATGATCGACGTTGTTCCCGAATTGATGCGGCTCTTAATCATAAATGCAAGCGGGACCGTGTTAAATTATAATGGCTCAGATGTAGCGCAGATAAGATGGCTATCATGGCGCGGAAGCATCGCGTAGCTAAGGCAATTGTATGCATTGAACCGAAGATCTCTCCACGGGAGAGGCAGCGCATCTCGCGTGAACTGGGCCATTGCGCAGTGCGCGCGAGCGCGAGAGAAGTCTAAACGAGCCTGAAATTCAAGTTGCGCGCACGCCTCCTCTGCAGACGGCTCCTCTGTGTCCGGAGGCCACCGAGCCTACACATTACTCCCGCCTTTTGACGGATGTGTACGCGCGACTGGCGGAATCTCAGTAAATAATATCCACGCGGCTCCGACCGGAGCCATTGTCTCTCGATTTTCTTTGTTTATATATTATATAGTTGTGATAGATTAGAGCGCTGAGTTTCGCTGCTTGTTCGTCTGTTTGACGTATAGCCCAATAAATTGCCGATTCGTCCCTTATCTCTTTCACCCTCCCCGCAGTTTGACAGGCAATTTTTGCTCAATCCGTCTCTAACTCATCGCGCATTTACGCATATATTTCATCGTGTCACGCACGGATTTCACCGGCGTATGTCGTTCGATTTTTTTTTCTCTGTCATTTCGCGGGAGCCGCGTAATCAATCAGGTTCATGAATTAAATTCCCGAATAATACTATCGACGCGCGCGCGTCAGGCATTGAAGCGTCACAGCAATAAAAGCATTAATATTCATCAGTAAGGCTTTTATAATTAAAGGCGGAATAGCAGATTGTTGGCCATAGAGTACAGCCTATAAAACGACAGCCTCGCGCAACCCGCAAAGTTTATACGAGGGTATACGCGCGAATGATAATGATCCGGGTAATATTTGCACGCGCGCGAGTCGAGGCGAGCCGTCCCTGCATATGCATCGAATTCGCGCAAATGAAAGCGCGACACCTGTGCACACATCACCGGAGCTGCGGATGCAGTTCGCGCGACACGCGTCTCGGGCTTTGATTTTGTTGGATCCGTTTGCCGACAAATACGTTTTGAGTGGCAACTTTGGACCACGCGCGGATACACTCCACGTACGTTCGCGTGGTATAATGCCAACTACAGCTCGCGTTTCGCTATGCTACGCTGAAAGTTGCTTTCACGTTCGTCGAGTACTTTTATTTTTTCTCTCTCAAACAACTATAGTGCACCTCAAACCTATTAACGGCAATATTCTCGTTCAATATTGAGCGTTAACTGCATGCAAACGTGCTCAGCTGGGTTGAAAATGAACGTCGACAACTTGGAAAGGTTAATTTTGATGAGTTGCATCTGTGCTTATGTACATTTTATCCGTAACAACTTTGCTTGAGGGCAAAATTAACTCTAACGGAAGACGTAATCTCGATTTTGATTAGCTTCTATTTTATATTTTTTAATTCGCTGTGGCTCGAGACGACGGAAGTGTCGCGGATACTGCGATATCAGTATAAGATGAAAAATATACTGATTCGACTAGTAGTATGAGTAGCGCGATCCGGTCGTTCAAAAGCAGTGAATACTTTATACGCCTAATTTTGTCGACTCACCCCGTAGAGCCGTAGAAAAGACGCTCGAATAGGAGAAAAGTCGTTAAAGACATACGGGCTTGAGCTAAGTCAATTCTACGGAAGCGAAAAGGAACGATCTCGTGATGTGAATTTTGATACTTACAGGAACTAAGAAGCGACGGACCTCGGCAAGGGCATAGGCAATTCTGGCGTGTGCCTCCGCTGGCGTCGCGTAGGCGGATATCTCAACGTGCAGATCCTCCATCAAATGTGAAAACTTAGGATCTCCGCTCACCCTTAATTCCTCTTCCTGTCACAAAGCCAATTTACATAGCAATACATGTGGTCGACCGTAAACAATGGCGATAGCCGAGAATGGCGCATTGGGCTCACTTCAAAGTAAGCTCTGCCATGCGTGCGCGAGATTTCATTTCATTAGCCACCGCAATTCCCGGAATAAGCTCGGCTGTCACGCCCGACATGAGTTATTTGCTATTTCCAACATTTCATTTATCGAATCAAAGTAGTTTTTAGCTGATAGCAAACGAAATAAGCGAATCGAGCTGTTCGATTACTTCAAAGATTAGTCGAGTGTATGGTGCATTATATGTACCTTTTGTCTGTCTTTCATGGAACCTCGTCCGAGCACAGCCATTTTGCACATCGTGTCCTCTTGTAGCCGCTTTAACGAATTTCCTTTTGGTCCCAAAAGCTTACCCACAAAATTGAACTAGCAGAGGGAAACAATAATTTATTATTAATATTATTAATAGTACAACTTATCAATTTTAATTCAATGCAGATTAAGTGTGCTTTGTTGATTTCGTTACTATTATCAAAATATTTATTAGGGTGTAATAATTTTCAACTTCGAATATTTAGCTACATTTTTCACTAATTTTTATAAGTAAACTAAGAAGCTTGGATTTAAAAATAATAAAAAAACATATTTATTTCAACCTTTACTTTATAAAAATAAGCCTGCTAAACGTTATACTGAGACGTAGAATCCAACTTGCGGACGTTAAATTTTTTAAAACATTATCAATTTCTATATTTTTTGTTAGATTTTATTGGAAGTATACTTCTTAAGCTAAAAATCATCGACTCGATGATATTTCAATCATTATTGCGAAAATTCTATCAATACCACCACGAGAATAGCACAACTAGTTTTTATTCTATTTTTATATTTTACATTTACAGTTATCTTTTTATGTTTAGCTCAAAATTTTTTTCATTATGTTTGCTTGTATGAACTCACCAGAAGGAGAATTGGATTCAAATAACCCGTGAAATGGCTCACTTTTTCTTTATCTTCTAGAGATAAAACTAAAGCCATTCATTTTATGCTCAGGCCCTAGCTAAGAATTTCCATTAATTACAAAAGTGAAAATGAGAAAATTTTTTTTCAGATCGATTAAACCTGTCATTAAGTCCTTTGATGGAAGAAATATTCTATGAATAGATAGTTCAAATGCAAAGTTTTACTATATTTATTATACGTTTTTTAAGAAAAATACGTATTCCGCTGTAGACATGTGTTTGTGCAAAAACAAAAAAAAATGAGATTCAGTAGTTATGAAGAGTAACGAAATTGATTTTATAACGTAACAGTGTTTGTTATTAAAATATGTCTAGTACTGCTTTTGTTGTAGAATTGACAAAATTTTAAACAGATTCACCAAAACTAAAACAATATTGTATTTTAGACACACTTTTTGATAACCTTTTATTTTTTTAAGTAAATCCAAAGATTTACATAAAAAGCTTACCTTTGGATGGTCTCGAACGGGGACTTGCACCCTTACGGCTACTTTTATTGGCTTATCCCTTGTAATGTCTACCATTCTCCTTTCACCACCTTCGTAACTGCCGTTGCCCCTTGAACCCAGTCGACCACCTCCCCCACCGCCATTTGAATCTGCAATAATAATTGTAAAATTAGTACTCATTTTTCTTGTAGAATACATGAAAAAATTTTTAAATTAAAAGGATTCTATTCGTATTTTATTACAAAAATGTTGGTGAAAAAAATAACACGTAACAGTTTTCCAACAGAATCCGAACGTTTGTTTTTGTTTTAAAATAATTGATAAAAATATTGGATCCGAATGGTTTCTAAAATGATTTTGACAAAAAAACTATGTTTTCTTCTAGCTAAATTAGATAATAGCTATCTTATCAAGTGATATTTTTAGAACATCCATCATTCCATTAAAATAATGTGTTCGTCGAGTTTAATGAAAATAGATGAGGAATGAAGTGACAGATAAAATGCAAAAGAGCAGTGGGCTTAGCAAGGTTCAGCAGAATGAGCAAACTCCGAAAAAAAGCCAAGAAAAATAAAGGAAGAAACAGACGTGCAGCGCAACAGCAATGAAATTCATCATAAACACGAATCTAATGAAGAGCACGTATAAGCCTCTTGCGCGCGAACAATGGGGATAGACAAGCAAAACTAAGTCCCGCGCGAGCGTGCGGCAACGTTGCTCTGTAAACGCAGCTAGTGAATGGAGTCATCCGGTTATCGAGCAAAAAGAATGGATATGCTACGCCGTTGCTACGACGGATTCGGGAGAAAAAGCGAATTAGCCGCGTCATTAGCGTTTTGCGCGGCCGCGATTCTCTCTCGTCAGCGCGTCATCATCATTATCGCCGTCAGCTAGACCCGCCCAAGCTGACTTGGAGCCCTTTCCGCGAGCAGGCGGAGGCTTTGTTGCGCAAGGATAAAAGGAGCCGGGCGCGAACGGCTAATTTCTCATTGTCGTCGCCTCCTTGGCTTTTCTTCGCGCGACGCTTGTAACAATGGCCTCACGCGGGATTTCGCTCTGCTGTGTAGTCAGCCTCCCCTTTCCCTCGTTATCCTCCCTGAAAATCAGGCTACTTTGCGAGAATAAAGCGCAGCCAGGGTTTATCGTTCGTTTCTCATTTTTATACGATGCTCTCGTGTGCAATTATGCGCGTGAAAGCGCGCCCATTCGCCGACGATACGATAATACACGAATGCAATGCGATGAAAACAAGCGATGATTGTTTTCGATTCGACGACACACTGTTTCCCGCGCGCGCGTTCATTTTCGTTATTTGAAATTCAGCGTTAATTGAGTTTCCGCTTGACTACTCCATCCTCCCCCCATTCGGGCTATTGTCTTTTTGTTCAATCTCTTATAACTTTTATTGAAACACTGTGCTACGATTTCAGAAGTATTATCAGAATGACAATTTTTATATTGACATAATTAGTTTAACATTTTGTTAATCTCTTATGCAACAACGAAACTTTCAAATGAAAATTCCAACAACAATAATATCAGATATAATGTTTTTGCTATAATTGTCAAAATATATGTATTTTATCATACAATGTACGTTAGTATTTTCAATTTCCTTTAAAAGACTAAAAAAGAAATGTTATATACATCGGTTACCGCAATACTGCTTTCAAGTAAGATTATACAATTTTTAATTACTGTTAGTAGGTAATCTTCCATGCTGTTTATTTTGATAATTAGTAACATTTTTTAAATTCATAAGTTTTTTTTAAATATATAACCATTACATAAAATTAATTAATACTATTTTAGATAGCATCTGACATTGGAGATTCTAGAAAAGTAATACAGCATTTATCACTCCATGGCCATGAGAGTACATAAAGATTTCCATGAAATAGGAAATATTAATCTCATATTGTAGAACAATTAATTATAAACATTATGGTGATTTTTGAACTAGTTTTGCAACGAGAACAATTTTTGGTACATGAAATTAGAATATATTCAGTAAAATTAAAGTACGAAACTTTCAACAAGTTAAAAAATAATTACAAAATATTTCACTAAGTTGTTTTAATTTTTCTACTTGAAAGTTCTGTAAGCAAACTTTAATTAACATAATTAAAATCCTTTATAGAGAGAGTCTTATGGCCATCTTTCTACATCTACCTATATAGGCCAAAAAGTTCCTGGCACAGTATTACTCTTTAAAACGCAAAATCCTTATGTCTCAGTACCAAATATCCAGAATACATACAAAAGTTTCTAAGGTATAATGTTAATGAGCACACTAAAAGTCAATTCATCATTTCAAAGTCAGTCATGATAAAACGAAATATTGAATATTTTTTATAAGTACGAATACAAAATTTAGAACAAAAGTAGTGCAAGATCGTATCGTACTACTTTATTAACTTAGCCAATATGTACTCAACTGATTTTATTAGGTTACATCAAAAAATGTTATAACATCAGGTACCATATATGACGTGCACATTTTTTTTTACGCCAATATTTCTAAAATTAGATGATTTGAATTTTACCTTATTTTTATTGTGACATATTTTATAGTTTATTAGTACGTTTACCAAAACAATTTTTTCTTTAACTTTATAAAGGAATATAACATATTGCTTCGTACTATAACGATTTAATATGAGTCACGATTTTGTATCTATTTTATCTTTTGCTTTTGTTCACAATCGCTTTAAAAACAATTTCACGTAAAGTTATCAGAATATCCAGTATTTTGACTATATTTTATCTAAAAATTGTAAATTCAGATAGCATAGTGTATAACTTAACGAAATCTACAAAAGTAAAATAATATGCTTGCTTTATAATTTTTACTTGTTGCGTAACTCTTTGATTAAAAAATTTATGTACTCCTAACTTAAGATAACTGAATGAATGATCGAAAGTATGTCGATCTTTTAAGATCTTATTAATGTGAATCGTGTGTCTTGTAAGAAATGTGAGTATTCCGTGAATGACAATATTATTTTTGGATAAATTGACAGAAAATGGTGACATTTAAACCCAAAAAGACTGGTTTGATGTTTTCTTATTGCCTGTCTATTTATTTTTAAATAATTAGAAAATCGCGTCCTTATTGTCAAGGCAATAACTTTTTCAATTATCTGAATAAATTAACATTCGAACGTTGACTTTAATTTTAACAACATTCACTCGAGTGATGAAAGTATCGTGTAATATTCATCTACGTTACAGTAAAATAATGAGTATCACAGTTTCTATTCATTAGTAGATAACATTTAGATGAATAATAAATAATCAATGTACGTGAATTTTCAATCACTTACAAATTTATCATTTGCATTATTGTAATTACATCTTTGCGTACTTTTTCATTTTTGATAAAATGCTTATGCGTGCATGCATTCAGGATTGGTATGTTAAAAAGCAATCACTTACGTTCATCATAGAACGTTATGGCCATTTATTTTCTAATGTACACTGTGATATTACATGGTCTGCGAATCCATTACTGTGTCGTAATTAAAAATTTGATTTGATTATGGAATTTTGTTCTAAAAAAATTTAAACTTGTTTGTATTATAATGAAATTGTACATATTGTACTGTAATATTAATTGAATATTCAAAACTGCACGGACTTTCAACTGCATTGACTATTGATAGTGGTTGAAAATTGCTTCATTGGCGCAATTTCATACAGGCAAGTGAACGTAGAAAATGCATTACCCTGCTCCAATGAACTGAAACTTCACTTTTAGTGTGTTACAGCGGAAAATTAATACGCGCAGATTGTTAAAATTTGGAAGCGAATAACGCACGTGATAGCAAAAGGAGTAGGTCGATTTTGAATGTCGCTACTTTGAAATATCGAAAAGGATACGAGAAAGAGAATCGATGACGAGAGAAAGAGAAGCAACAAGGGAAAGCAAAGCGAAGGAAGTTCTTATGAAGATTAATGAAAGTGCAAAATAATCGGCTTTAAATTGTCATCAAGCTGCAGAGAGTTTAAGTAGCCGGTGATATAGCTTGTGCAGGATGAAAGGCTAGGTCTTTGGCTGTGCTACTCCATGGGCTCTCGGTGTCGTGCTCTTAGTGCCTCTTGCGCTTCTGTGCCGGCTAACGCAATATTATTAATTGCGAATACGTGTAACACGAGGGCACGTGGAGTGTTGGCTCTCTGATGGAGTAGCACGGGGGCCTCAATTTTCATTGGATTTGATTAGAGAGCAGGTGAAGCCGCGCTCTGGCAATAAAGGACCAAAGTTAAAATAGCCTATCTCCCTGGCTGCTTTTTTTCCTCTCTCTCTCTCTCTCTCGTCGGCGAGTGGACAATTTTTGCCGTACTATTACACTCGTCGCTGATCGATGCTTGATCGAGCCTCGCTACGTACAAAGCAAACTGTTTCGCGACAAAAAAGGACTCGGTCTTGTTCGCTTTGAGCAGCAGCGCCAGCAGCCTGCAGCCCTCTACTGCCGCTGTCGCGTCGATGTCATTGTGAAAGGGGAAGCTGAAGAGCCAAACTGATGGCCCATTGACGTGAATGCAGGAAATCATTGTTTCTGCTTCAATGCGGACACACGCGCGCACCCCTTATACTGTTTGCCACTCTTTTCACTATTATTTTTCCCTCGGCCTTGTTGTCACTCCCATTTTTTTTTCCAATTTTGTTTCAGGCAAAAAATTTAACAATCGCCAATTATTAAATTCGCATTTCGCAATCAAAAGTACAAACGCTGCGCTAAATGGGAAAACTAGCGTGCATATGTAATGATAATGTTTCAATTGGCATTTACAATGCTCACGTAGTGTGGCTATTTTTTTACCGGAAAAAAAATTGTTCAATTATTTATTTGACCAGATGGTATATTTTCGTAATGAGATATAATTGATTGACCGACGATGGCTTGGCTCAAAAATATTCCAACAAGATGAAATTTTTTTATCGGAAAATTTTCATTCGTGCATGCGAAATCGTTTATTAAGTGGAAGCCCGCGCGTATATGTATAAATCATGCGTATGTATCTTTTAGCTTTCAGAGAGAGAGAGAGAGAGAGAGAGAGAGAGAGGAGAGAGAGAGAAAGGGGCTATGCTATACCCAAGGTGGAACTCTGTCGGAGCATAGTTTATATATTTAAACTGTTACCA